CGGTGTGATCTATCAGGTCTGAAAGCAGATCAACTATGATCAGATGAATTCCACCTTAAGAGAACCCACTTTTAAATAAAAATGTCTCAGATATAAAAATTAATGTCATCGATATCTGAAACTAGCACCATTAATCAACCTCTCCAGTCTTACCCTTACACAGCCCCTAGCTCTTCTGTTGTTTCGTTCTCTTTGATTTTCCATTCAACAGCATCAGAAAATGGTATTTTTCAATTTACATACACCCCGAGGTGCAGATGCACCCACTGAAGACAGAGGAGCCCATCACATATGTGACTGCTTAAGCCACCTAAAGAGACACGCTTAGTGAGGTACGCACCATCACCTAGACTGCATCTTTCTCAAGGTAAGCTTTGCATAGTAGTCAGCACTGCAGGTAATCCTTAAATTAACTGTATCTGAACAACGATGAAATCAATACTCAGGATGCAGAAGTTTTATTTACGAGGAAAGTGAAAGTTTTGCCTGGTAATGGATATGATTGTCATTGAACTGGCTCTTAAGGTGGCAAGCATGTAGTAAAGAGGCCATGTTCTCTAGTTCCTACTGTATGTACTAAATGCATCCTCTAGCTGAAAGAAAACAGTGATTATCAGAAAGTCAATTGTCATTCTGCCTCTTTAGAAAAATTTCCATTAAAGATAAAGCCAATTTTAATTAGATTAAGTATCCAATTACTGTAATTACATTTTTAAAAAATTCACATCATGAGGATGACCCTTTTAAAAAGGGTTACAAGAATAATTAGTGTATTCATATTAACCAAAATGTATTGGATAATATTTATACCCAGAAGGCAAAGTACATTACACATATTTCACCTTTGGGGAAAGCTTGCAAATGTTTTGGCATTGGTATGAATATTTATAGGCAAGAGCATGCTTTAGCAAGATTATATGAGAAAGCATTTATATGCTCACAAATTTTTACCCAGGGGTAAAGTATACATAAAATGTAGTGCAGAGATTATGGATATGCAAAGTACAATTTAAGAAGGGAATTCATATCAGTTTGTTTAATTAATTGGAGCAGAGGACTTCCTCCCTTATTTTTATTTTGTGTGTGTGTGTGTGACAGGATGGCCCAAAGAATTCAAACTTGAGGTTTCTTTCTGCTGATTAATGCTAGCAAGAAGGATGTGGGGAAAGGGTCTTCCCTCTGCAAGGCACCGCCTGGACCACAGTTAATCTATCCCCTTTAATGTGCTGCTCATCACAAGGACTGACAGTTAAGGTGTGAACCATCCCACCTGTCACCTTATGTGATCATAAATGCATCACGGAACTGGCAAACACGCAGCCAGTCTCTAGTCAACACTCCTCATTTGGGGCAAACCCTGCAATTCTCAGCATGGGGAAGGCTTGGAGCTATGTTATTTGCTCATGCAATGAGGACAAGAAACCACATCCTTGCTCCAAACTACTCATGAAGCCCCAACACTACCACAGAAGTGAAGAACCACTTTTACCACTTAGGGATAGCACTGACTTAGCAACTGCAAGACTCTACCAGCTAGGCTCTCGAGCTGTGCACTAAAATCCCCTGGAGGCTGGCGAGCACAGCATTCCATGGAAATCTTCCCAGTAATTAGCATGGGTCTCATGTAACCATTGATTTCTTCTTGCTATACAGTGAATCTACATGTGTGGGAATTGCCAGGGCATCACACTTTTCCTCAGAAAAAAAGCTTCTAGACTTTCTGCTGGTGTTTGAATTTATCTAAGACTGCAGCACTGGGGCTTTATTACTAAGAAACTCTGCAATGAGAGAAATTCATAGACATCTTCCAAAGCTAAGGGAGAGAACCAGTGCTGACAAGTATTTTGGCAAGGGCTAGACATATGAGGAGGCTCTTAAGTAACTTGTTTGTTGGATTAACTTGTTCCTAACTTGCATTCATTTCAAGGGTTGTTCATTATTGTAGTAATTTATATGTGGCCAGTCAAGAATGAGCAGACAAAAAGAAGACAGGCTTAAAATGATTAATTCATCTTCTTTCACATTAATTTTCTCTTCACTAAAGTATTAACAGTCGTACTTGAGCTTTCACGCCTTTCCAGTTTTTCAGAATGGTTGAGTATTGTTTATCATTCATAGTTTAGTATTCTTGTGTTAAGCTGCAGATTGTGGCTCCAAGTAGCACCTCTTTGTGCATACTTTAACTTACACGTGTTAAACTGCCTCTAGCTTCTGAAAATGACCCTTCCCTTTGCAACAGCAAAAGTTGCAAATATGTGTGCAAACGCACGGTCATGTTAATGCTGATACACCCAGTATGGATATTAGCAAGCATGTGTGCAATTTCCCTATTGCCCACTGCCATTTCCTGGGTTATGGGTTTTCAAGCAAAATAAAGTAGCACAAAAAATGTTTTTAGAAAAAGCAGAAAAGCAATAAGCAAAGAAATATATATTTCTGATACATACTGGATAAATTGTATTTATTTTTTTTAACATTTCCCCGCGATAAGGAGAAACTCAGGGAGTTGGTAAGGATGGAACAGCAAAGAGATAGGTAGCTGGGGAAGTATCAGCGTAAAATAGATGAGAAGAAAATGAATTTCCTTTCTAAAGTTCTTTTGCAGAAGTTCAAAACAAATCACTTGGTGGAGATTGTTATCAATACCGGATGAATACCTATTATACTACTTGAGAAGTATTTTGCTATGAAAGCATTGTTTCTGAATATTGCTAAGACTGCATTTATATATATTTCTTTGGAAATACAAATCAAACAATGTATTTATGAACACTAACATTTAGAAGGATGTCATTCTGTGACTACATCCCTTTCGATGTGATGGCAAATAAAATTAGAAGCAATCCAAATACAACAAAGCCCACAAGGCTGACTTTTCTGAGGACTGTGCGTGCAATTGTGCATTATATTTAGGTCCAAACATATTTATGGTATTTTGCCTTACCAGAAAATTACCCAAAGCACCCTCTTGATTTTCTTTGTTAGGATTCTGTTTCTGTAAGATTTATTTTTATTTATTTATTTTTTTTGTGGATGTGTGTGTGATTACATTTGACTTCTAGAGTAACGTGAATCAGAAGGATTTTACCCATGAAATCTACCTGTGCTTTTTATGAAAACTAAGACCCATGACCTTAGCTTTCACTTCAAAAGCTCTGTATTTGGCTATGGAAAAAAAAAAAAAGGATTTATGAAGTCTTCCTTTTTGTTTTCTGTTTTTAACATAACTTGATGACTTAATACTTCACAAGGAGTCTCTGTGTACAGTCTCAATATTGAATTCCTTGCTCTAGCTTTGAGCTGCTGTTGGCTTCTTGAAAGGGCCACAGGCCAACTGCCATGTTGGGCTTAGAAAGCCAGTGATTTCATGTGAAAAGTAAATTTCAGACCATCAGTTTCTCTATTCCTCCTAGGCTTTGAATGGCATGGGTAAAAATACTGGGAAAACAGCCATCAGCATTTGTTTCTTTCTTCCGTTGTCTCTTCTAGGAACAAGATGAGAGCAGAAAGTCAATGTACTTCATCCAAACCTCATGACTGAAAGAAAGAAGCCCCCAGATATCTTTGTTTTGAATCAATTGCCCTGACAACACCTGGCACTTCTAATGGTGAAACCATTCTTTAGCAGCTGCACTTAACACCTGAAAGGCTCAGGTTGTGGTGCTGTTCTCTCGGTGCTCGTTGTTGTTTCTATGCATCCCAGGAATTAAAGTGGAATGAGAAGAGACTCACAAGAGTGCTGTAGTAGCATATGTTCACCTTGTGGTCGTGGAAGTTTGTTTATGCTCAAGGACCAATACACTGGGTAACTTTAGCATCTGATCATGCTGATGACTGCATGATTACCAAGAAAGATTTTGTCTCAGTGAAGAGATCACTTGTGGTGATGATGAGAGAATAACAGTGCATTTGTATCGCAGATTTAATTATCTGTTGTTATTGGATTCACACATGTGTTGGATATCACATGTTTCTGATCAGGGTGAGGCTTGTTTCAATGCTCCTACCCGCTGACTTTGCCACTTTAAGCACCAACAGCTGGTGGTACGGTCAGGAAATAAGCACAGTGAGGCACTGAACTGATAGTACCAACAACTTTTATTTCCAAGAGCAGCAGCAGGGAGTGCCAGAAGTTCTCTTGTGAGGAATGCGAGAGCTGGTGAGTGAGTGACTGCAGAGTTGTGGAAGGAGACGTTTCAGCCAGGTTAATCCAATAATGGTGAGTGGGAACCTGTCCAGGGGCTGCTGTGTCCGCAGGGCCAAGGTGTTCAATAAGAACAATTACTGGAATCATCAGCCCAGTGCCAGCTGTCCAGGCAATGGAAATGTCTTCTGTAGTAATTTAAGACACTGTGGTATTCTGCTGCTGCAGTGGCCTGCAGTGCCAGTCAGAGCAATTCTTCTCTCAGCTTAAGCCTAATTAAAGGGAACTCTTGCGTAAAGTGAGTTAAATTCAGTAGTCACAGCCCAGACCCACAGAAAATAGTCTAATTCAGCTACAGTAATACAGTGTAATATAAATATAATGGAAATACAAAACCGTATAATTTAATTTGACGTGACTGGCAGTTTTTTTGCTTAAGTTGGTGAACACGAACTAGCGCAAGCAACACTCTGCATTGATGTGTTATTCCCAATGCAGCGGGAAGGCAGCTTCAGGATGGACCCAAACATTTGTAACAACTACATTTCATCGTAGCGCGTTGAATTAGTTTTAAACGCGCTCTGGACCGTCCCTCATCCGCCCTGCGTGCTGCAAGGCAGGGGATGATTCCATATGAGGGCGCAGCTGGTGGGTCAGAGCCCAAAGCAGCCTTTTCTGCCGGCTTTTTTTTTTTTTCCTAGCTGGAAGCACCGAAGCTCTGACGAGGGCGGCAGCGCGCAGCCCATCCCCGCGCCTCGCCCCCTCAGCTTCCCGCCCGACGCACGCGCGCGCCACTCGCGCCTGCGCAGCCCCCGGCGGCCGCCTAACAGTCCGTAACGGCTGCCCGGCGGCCGCCATGGCGCCCTCGACGTGCCGCAGGGTGGCCGCGGTCTCCTGCTTGGTGCTCTGCGTCTCGCTGCTCCTGCCGCGGACCTTCTTGTCTCGGGGAGGCGGCGGCAGGCAGGAGCCCGGGGCCGCGCCGCTCGCAGCGCCCGCTCCTCCAGAGGGTAAGAGGCCGCCGCCTGCCGCGCTGAGGCGTAGCCGGGCCGCTCCGGGTCTTGCCGCCGCCGGCACGCCGCTCTGCGCTCCCCGCGGCGCTGCGCGTCGGGAGGTGAGCCGCCGCCCGCTGTGGAGGCGTGGCGCGGTCATCCTTCCCTGCGCCCTCTGGGCCGCGTCCGTCAGGGCTGATGATGCTGCTGAATAGGTCACTGTGTTGAGAGCTGTGTAAGTGCTGTGCTGTGGCTATCCTTCAGTGGTTGCTGTGTGTTCTTGTTCTGAAGGAGTTGAGTATAGGCTCAGGCACGCTGCAGATCCACAGGTTCGTAATTTCATGCATAATCTCGAACGTGAGAAACCTAAATCATAGCTAGTTTTTTTTGGTAGCACGTCAAATACATCGCTCTTAGGTGCTGGCACCCACAAGTGCCCACCGTGCAGCACGTCGGCTTGGTGAGGAGTGTGTTGAGTCAAAAACCAATAACCAACTGAAAGCAAATGCCCCAAGTTATTTTTCAGTGGCATTTGCTGATTAATGATGTTGTCACCTGTTCTGGCACAGCCTGCTTTAATCACTGCTGTTGTGTGGTGTCTGATCAGCCTTAGCTAAATGCTTGAATTTGATACAGCATGAGTGCTCTCTCCATCATCAGAAGAGAGCTCAAATAGTTTCCTGTATGGTGTCAGAGGTATCCATACCTCCCAGGTTATTGTGTCCCTGGATCAGAAGAGCACTCAGCTCATCCCGTGATTGGCTGCAGCCCCTGACTTCGGCTGAGGATGTAATGCTTCATCTCATTTGGCCAGCTTCAGACTAGAATTTATTGTCTGTATTATCAATTTGATAGCAGGAATGTCATTACACCTCTGCAGACCAAACTTTGTTTCACCTGCAGTTGGTTTTGAGTGGAAGAATAAATCTTGATTGAGCAGTTCGTATCTCTTGTCATTAACTGTTCCCTTGAGCAACCTGCTAACTGTGGCTACCTGCCAAAAACTTCAGCTTCAGAGACTTGAATAGTGTAATTCTTGAAGTTAATAAAATACTTAGTGCAGTCTTGGGGGGAAAATGCTTCCAAATAAGGCATTCTTAAAGTTACTGCCACTTGTTGGAAATGCATGTTATCATAGGGCTTTTCATTAAAACAGCTTGGAAGTAGTCTATTTATAGAGAATGTTAGGCATGGTACTCTATAAATCGATATTCCAAGAAGAAAACTGTTCTTTTTCCCTATAATAGTTTAACACATATTACAATAACTCACTGTGGATGTGCTGTGTTGTGCTGGAGTACCAGAAGAACGCAAGATTGGTCAGGCAACTTATTTGCCCAGTTGGAATTTTGTGTAATGCATACCAGATTTCTTTTGGGTGGTCTGAGTATTATCAGCTGATTGGTTGTTGTGGTAGGTTCACTTTAGCTGTGTTTAAGCTTTTCTATGTTCAGCTGAGCCTTAATATTGCTGAAAGATGAAGAACTAAGAAGTTCTGACATTATACTGCTATTAAGCAGTTGCATCACCTACGCTGTGTTAGGGCATTAGGATCCTGTCATAGCACGGGTTATGTTGTGTAATTGACAGTGGCATCCAGATGTCTGCATGTCCTCATTTATATACCACATATTTGGCAGCTCTTTTCACACGTGGCAACTTGCATGTGCCATTGATTTCCTGTACGGTTTGTATGGGTTCTTCACAATAGAGGATATTTCAAAAAGGAGATCATTATAAAAGTTCAAAATCAACAAGGACCTAATGCTAGAAGCCATTAAACTTCCCCGAGAATTATTTTGATAATCAATGTATGCTTTTGGCCTCAAATTAATCCATTTAAGTACAGGTTCACCTTTGCCAATTATTTTCTCTGTTCTCTTTTTTTAATTTTTTTTCCATGAATAAAGAATTCTTGCATAAATGTAAAACATTTTACAAAGGTTACATTTCTGCTGTAGCAGTGAGAATTTCTTGTGAGTAAGGTGCTTTGGTTTCCGTGGTATACTTTGAATAATTCACTGCAATTCAGATGCACTGTAACAGCTTCCTCATAGTGAAGGCTTAGTTAGTCTGAGAGCATTCTGGTCAGTGGGGCACGCCTGTGTGGTTTCATTGAAGCCTAAGCAGTCAAAAAATCTGTGTCATCACCTAGAATAAAAATGTTTTAATAGTGGGACTTCACAAATTATTGATATCACTTCCTAATATGTTTATTGCAATTTTCTGTGCTTTGGGAATTTAGCTATGGCGGTGTTTCCTATCAAGAACAAATGCTAACACAATGTTGTTGTCTCACTTCCAGAAGAATAACTGCAGGTGGGTACTTGCATGAGTTAAGCTAGTTAAACTGAATACTGAGTCTGCAGATATTACTTATGGTCTTGCAGGCTATGTTTTCATAACTGGTGGTGCATTTATAAGAGACCAGCTGTACCTGTTTGAGTTTTGGACTGCATGTAAAAAGGTGAAAAGAAACAGAAGAAAAAGAAATGGTTGCTGTGTTTTATTGCAGGGAAACTCGGTCGCTTTCCACCAAGGATGCATTACCAGGCAGCTCCCGACAGCCGCGCTGCCCCTCCTTTCCCAAGGTCTCACCTTGCTGAAGCAGTCGCCAAGGCCAAGGGTGGAGGAGGTGGTGGAAGTGCTGGTGGAGCTGGGAGAGGTCTTGTGGGGCAAATCATCCCTATATATGGATTTGGCATCTTCTTGTACATCTTGTATATCTTATTTAAGGTAAGAAAATTGAAAATAGTTGAAAAGTCAAGAGTGTAACAACTAAAAGTGCTCAAAACAGGAATGTTAGTCCTATTTCTGTACCAGGTCTCACCTTGGCCTTGCTCAAAAACATGCTTGCCTTTGACTGGTACTTGGAAGATGGATGTATACTATATAGTTTTTGCCATTGCAAAGACTGTAACTGAGTGCAGCAAAGTGTTGCTATGATCCTGTGTTGGCCTCTGACGTGAGAAAATTGTCAAGTTTTTAGTTTTTTTTCTGCTGGAAAATATGTATGTCTGGTCACAGATTAATTTTGAGTGTACACAGAGTGGTTTTTTTTTTTATAAAATACTGTATATTATACACACTGTATATATCATGGATTGCAATATGCATTTAAAGAGGGAGAGATGGGGTACCGTTGTTGAATTCCTTCTGGAACAAAACCACCCTGCTGGTGAAGAATGGGAGTTGTAAGGTTGCAGTGACCACGCTGGAACTAACCCAGCTGAGGTGCTGGCTGAAAGTACAGCCCTAATCCCAACCAAATGTTTTGCACGTGATTTGAACTTCAAGCTTTCTGTGACACAGATGTGCCACGCGTGTGGGTGATGACAGCCAGCTGCTTGGAAGGAAGAAGGGGACAAAGCCTTGCAGATTATGTATTTTTTTCCTTTGAGCAGGAGTTTAAGGCAGACAGATGTTCATAGAGTTGAGCCCACTCCAGAGAGGAGGCAAGTCCCAGGGTAAGGGCAAGGCGACTTGGGTGAGCTGATCAAACAGGAAGAAGAGGAAAGAAATAGGGAGCTTGCAGCTGCAGAGCCAGGTGGTATTGTTGCTGCATGTACAAAGCTGGTAAGGAATCAGTGGCAGAACACATGAGGGAGTCAAGTGGGGTCACTTATAACTCCTTCAGAACGTTTCACTTTTCACATTTCAAAACAATAATTTCTTCCCTCGGATAAGCAGAATATCTATAGAATCAGGCCCTTTCCTGCAACAGATAAATATTCTAAAATTATGTTATGCTTTCTTTATGCTTCAAAATAAAATTTGTTCCAAATGTCTCTTAGAAATTTTCAGCTCAGAAGATCTCCTAGGCATCTTTCATGGTTGTCTGTTTTTGCTGCTGGGGATGTTTTTCTGTGATTATTTCCTAGCATAATTTTAGCTTTCTGTCCTTTACTTGGTTGCTTTTGGGCCTTGTATATTGCTATTGCTGTAACTCACTGAGGGGTTGGCTTTTTTCACTTATCAGCTGGCTTCCAAGGGAAAAACTACCCCTGGAGAACGGAAATGCCTTCCTGCTGCACCTGGAAACATGAAGAGGAAAATCAGTAAGTGCTTTTCATTTCTAAGTTGTATGTGAGAAGCCATTGACTCTGTATAGTCAGTGTCTCACTGAGTTCTTCAGGTTCTGGACATGCTGTGAAGCTGTTCCACTGCGTGAGGAGCAAGCCAGAAGAGTCTGTGTTAAAGTGAATTACTGCCCCATTGCTTTCTAATCTCATCTGGCTGATGAGAATATATAATAGTGCCTGGAAGCTATTTGCTGCAAAGCTAACATGACCAATAATTAGCAAATAGATAAGAGGATGTCATCTATAATATTCCAGTAATAACATATACCATGTTCTTAAAAGCTATCTTCATATTTTCTTTTTTGAATGTATGAATTCTTAGCCATTAGCAGCCTCTTCCCTACTTTTTCCATGCCCTGTTTGCACTGCTTAACTTACTAGCGACTTCAATATAAAGAAGGCAGGCAGGATTCTGAAATATTTCTATGATTGTAGCTAAACATCAGTGAGTTAACAGATTCAACTATTTGTAGACATGTATTAGCTATTAGTTACCCATCAGTATTGAAAAGTGTTGTGCTTAGCTGGCTAAATTGTAAACAGGAAAGAAAAGTGTGTGAGAGCCTATAGAAAATGCTAACAGTAAGAACAGTGAGCTCATGCTCTTCATAGCTGTAATTAAGTTATACAAAACCTGGCACTACGTAACACACTCGGTCTGCAGACTATTTTCTGTCTGCTTGTACTGCATCGTGCTTGGAGATTCAGTGCAAATTATTAACAATGGTAACTGAATATTTTTCTCTTAATGCACGAGCATCCAACCTTCTGGTTTGCCTGGGCTGAGTAAGAAAATTGTCATGGAGAAGAAGTTGCTCTGAAAGTAATGCCTCCTATTTATTTCCATGGAAGATGCAAGAGTTACAAAGAGCGCAGTAACACTGGCTGAGAGAACAAATCCTCAGCTACGAAACTCTTAACTCTTTCAACTAAATTAGAGACAGTACGGGTGTGCCCAGACGTGTGCACGTGTGTCTGTTACTGCACTGTGGACGTTTTTTTTTTCTGTGGTTGTACCTTCTAAAGCAGTGCTTTGTTCTCCAGACATCATGTGGTTAGCTGATGTGCATCCTGGGGAGCCTGATGGATGGATAGCTTCCCTGCCTGCCTTCCCACACCCGTGCAGGGTCACGTGCCACCAATCCCATGGTAGTTGTTCTGTTTGCCTCACTCACTCTGCTTATTGGGTGGAGCCATTGAAAGAAGGTGCTTTCTGTGTGTCCCGTTATCATTGGCAATGCTTGTCACCGTTACACCAGGAAAAATCTATTGAACTCTTTCAGCTGTGTGTTTTGGTTTCCTTACAGTCGGTTTGCTACCTGTGATAAAGAGACAAAGGTTTTAAAAGCTCCCACTGACAGATCGTGGGATTTTGTTCCTTTTACAGCTGACTATGAGCTCACCCAACTTCAGGAAAAGCTGAGAGAGACTGAAGAAGCTATGGAAAAGTTAATCAACAGAGTAGGCCCTAACTGTGACAGGTATGCTTCAAACTACAGCATTTTAAGGAACAGTTATTTTCTGACTAGGAATTGAATTTTCTTACATTGGCTATGCAAAAGTAGCATTATAAGTTCTACTTTCAAAGTGTAGAAATCTAATTTTAAGCGTGGTGCTTTTTGTCCTGCAGTCTTTTTTTCTCAAGGCTAATATTTATATAATAACTAATTCTTTCCAGCTTCACATTCCTTAAACAGAATAACAACCAATCCTTACCCTCCCCTTTTTGAATAGTGCATTATTTGGAGGATAACCTCTTCTTATTTGGAGGAGTGTAGACAGCTATGTCTAAGCTGAAAATGTCTATATTTAAAGTATATAAAACAACCTGTTTTATGTCACTGAATAGTTTTCTGAGTGATTCCCAAGAGAAACATTTGTTTTATGGTGTTTTCTAGTGCTATGGCTTTTTTTTTTTAATATAAATGCTTTGATAATCTGTGTACATGTCTTAGAATTTCCATAAATTACATGTTTAAAGGCAGAATTGATAATAACATGTATGATAATTAGGTTCCACTCCATAACCAGTAAATGCATGCATTTGCTTAGAAATACAAGAGAAAAGAGTGGAAAGATCAGGGTTCAAGCATATATTATGTTTATTAATGTTTGCTTTAGACTTGAGAGCAATAGTCTGCCTTGGAAGGAAATGTTGCTAACAAGTTTGTACTTTTTGTAAGAAGTGTAACAAGGCATCAGCTTGGTAATGCATGACTGCAGTGTCTGGAAAATGAAACACCACAAGTACAAGGCAGTCTGCAAGCAAAAAAGATAGCTTGTAACACCTAACTTCTCCTGGATTGGTCGGTGATTTGATTTTAAACCACTCTTTAGAAACAATTCTGTGCTGAACTTGCCTGTTGAGTTCATTTCGCTGCAAATCCTGTCTTCTCTGAGTAACCAGGGCCTCAGCTGCAGTGTCCTCAGCACGGCAAAGATGCTGAATATACCTGAGTTAGGCTGAGTTTTAGTGGGAGTCCCTAAGCTACCTTGTGTCTGCTGGTGAAACAGGACAGTTTTGACTATTTGACTCACCTGCTTGGAGAACTTAGCAGTGTTTTATACTTACCTTTAGGCTGCCAGAATTAGGCTTGTATGCCTCTCAAGTACTCAGGATAAATTATTTTTTACTGATCAAATGAGTTTAGGGTCCAATGCAGTATTTGTTCCATTCAGTGCAATTGGCTGAGAGCCTTTATTTAGTAATGCTTCCCTTCTTTGTTCACCCAAACTATTTATATACATGGATCTAAGGACCTCGGGGGAAATCAGAAATGGAATCTCATAGTGAATTTTGAATGTAGCCTCTCTTTAAAAGAGAGAGGAGGGCACCTCTAGACGGAGCAAACAGCTGTTTGTTTTCTTTTTTCCAAATGCACCCAAGCTTTGAAGCTTTTGAGGAAAAGAGGTGGTACTCTGTGAGATACAGTTTGGGGGTATAGTGCATTTTAAGTAGTGATTATTTCATTGTACCCTGGTAAATCTCCTGTATACAGGCAGCCAGACATCTCATACATTGCAAGCATCCTACAGCTAAACCTTCCTGGAGACTTTAACTAGAAACAATGCATGGACTTTGATTTCTCCCTGTTTAAGGAAAACATGTGTTTTAAATTAGATATCTAGAGTGGGAAAGGATCTCTGAAATGCTCGTGGAGACCTTGCGCTGCAGTAAGAAAGTACTGCTTTCTGTTGGGAATATTCAGCATATTAAGAATTCTGATATGAAATGCCACTGCTTTTTAGCTGCAGCAATCGATCCTGTTATTTGTGCTGGCATATCTCTGCACTGTGCTAAACAGACAGATCTGTCTGTCTTTATCCAGGTGATATAGATTCAAATTACATACACTTCTGTCTAGAAAAGGAGGATCAGTTTGGCAGTTCTATTACAGGTTCTGTCAAAGGCAGCTAGCTGATGAAACCATTTATTTTCACGTGCCAGTTAATTCGCTTTTGGAATTGTACATCTGCATAACCAGGCTTTTGAGAAGATGCTGCCTCACACCTTCTCTTGTTCTGTGCAGCAAACTGCCACGCAGCTTGATGGGACTCAGCGTAGCCTCTGTGTAGGGTTGGGGCTGTATCAGCTCTACAAATTGAGGGCAGAGTGCCTCTTAGGGGAAGCACAGAGCAAGTGGCAAGGACAAGATTTCTGACACTTCAATCTTTATGTCAGCAAGACAGTTCCTATCTGGATAGCTGGTGGTGATACCAGTGGCTCCTGAGCTCCATTCTGTAGCATGCAGTGGTGTGTGTAACCGTGCACAAAACAAGCTAGCAATGTGATGCTGATCTCTGTTGTTACACCAGTACGGCACTGCTGCCTTAGTGGAGTAGCCATCATGTCATCGCCATTCCTCCGTGTGTAGCACGAGGCATCCATTAAGGTGCTGATCTATTCACAAAGGTTAATAGGAAGAAAAACTGAAGAGTGGATGCTGCAAGCTTTTGAGAATTTTGGCACTTATTAAGAGGTTGATGTAGATATTTAGCGTCTAAATCCAGAATCATTAATCAGTGCTCTCTTCATCTCACCCGAGTCACTGAGCAGCTGTTGGAGGTGATCTGTCTGATGGCGTGGAGATCATCAGAGATCATCTGTCTGACCTCAGATATGCCTGCAGTTCAGCATTCTGTGCGTGATGAGAGCCACACTCTCTGAACAACTAGAGGTTGTAGGTCCTGGTTAAAACACAGCAGGATTCAAAAGTGAGCCAGAGTAATGCCTCTGTCCCCTGAGGGCCTGGATTGGTCCTTACAGAGAGATCAAACATCCTCTCAAGAACAACATGAAACACAAGATGAAACAAAACCAGTCAGAATCATTTTCACCTGAAGTACAGCCAGTGATCTGCCTTGCTATAACCCACTGAGTGACTTGCTAGAGCTCGGGTCACCACTTTCCAAAGACTAGTTTTTGCAATAAGATTTTCATGAGCTTATTTTTTTTTTTTAATAGAGAAAATAGCATGTAACAACTACATAATCTTATCTGTTGGAATCGCTTTGTTGTAACAGTAATTGCTTCACCTGAGGAGTAGTAATCATTTTAGAATAATGCTGTTATCGCTAGTGGTAATCACAAGAATCAGCCACGTAGAACCAGGGAGAATTACAGTTTGCTTTTAATCTGATAATCTGTCTTCTCCCTCTCTGATTCTAAAGGGCAAGTTAAAGTTAAATGTAACAACTTCTTAGCAGTTTTAAGCCTTCCTGCTCCTCCACTTGTGCTCAACCAGCATCATTGTTGGATTTGCTCAATATTGGTCCAACTGGCTGGCTTCTTATTGAGGCCTTGCAAATCTAGTATCTTTAAGGGTGATGGGACAGCACTGGACAAAGTTTTTGTAGTGTCTTCTGTACCATGGGATGCTAAGTCTGCCTGCGTTGACCTGTTTAAGTTTGCAGGCTTTCTAGATAAATGGATAAACCTTTTTACTGAGTTGAAGCGCAGACTACAAGAATAGTGATCACACTGCATCCAGGTTTCCCCTGACTGTCCTACTCACAGTGACAGTTGTGCCCAAACTCTGTAAGCAATTTGCAATAATCGTGGACTGAATTCTGTTGTCTGATGTTTTCTACCAGAGCTCAAAATGTTACAACAGACCAGGAAAAAAGGTTACTTCAGCAACTCCGAGAAATTACTAGAGTTATGAAGGAAGGCAAGTTCATAGATGGCATCTCTCCTGAGAAAGAAGCTGAAGAAGCTCCTTACATGGAGGACTGGGAAGGTAAGCAAGAGCCCTTTCTTTCCGTTTCCCCGATGAGGAAAGTTGAGCAAGGCTTACTTGTAGTCTGAATTCCTTTCAAAATCTAACTTCAGCTTTCTTTTTCAGAAAGCAATGTTAAAAGCTTTGCAAGAGGTGCTTTGTTTTCCCAACCGTAACAGGAAAAAAAAATATTCTAGTGCAGCCAGCATTTCCTTTAGCATAAAGTCTACGCTATCTGCTGCCAGAAGTGGCAAATGAATATTCACATACACTGCCAGGTCTTGGCTGCTGTAGGTTCATCTTTCCCTTTCTTTGCTGGGCTGCATTTCATAGAAAATTGTAGAGCCCTTAGAAATTAGAATCAATGTGGAAAACTTACAGTTTTTACTTTTGATTTGTTTGTTCCAGTTCTGTAAAAGACAACTCCAGGAATTCTGTTAAAGATCCTTAATTATAATGTCCTTTCTATTTCTTATTGTTTACTTCTTTCAGAAATGTATTTTCAAGACATCCCAGTTGAGCTGTTTGCTTTCAGAATTCTAAATGCATCTTTATGCAGATCTAATTCCTTGCTCCTTAGGAAGCAATGTTTCCTAATATAAAGCATAAACAGCTGCCTCAAGCTCTGTCTTCTGAAGTCAGGCTCATGATGTGTGTTTGGCACAGAGCCATTGACTCATATCTGTTTTCCAGCTTTATAAATAATGCTTTTTGTCAAAAAAAAGTCTGTAAAGCACAAATCATGCTATGGACAGGAACAAAAGTGGGTATATTTAAAGACACCCAGTTTTTACCTATTAGCTCCCATAGCTTTCAGCAGAGCTTAAATACTGGCTCTTGGAAGTCTGGGTTGAAATCCTGGCTCCCTAAAAATCAGAGGAGTTTTGTCATCATCTTCCAAGAAGTGGTGGTTTGCACGTGGTTCTTGCTGTGACATTCAGTGCTGTCGTAAACACATAGCCTGAAGTAGATGCCAGTTATGCTGTCAGTGCCAAGAATGGTTGTTCTAACACTTCTGCATCCATCACTGAAATTAGTGCTACTTTTATGTGCTGTTAACATTTCAAGCTGCTTGTCACTTCATTCCTAAGGTTACCCAGAAGAGACGTATCCCATCTATGATAACTCAGATTGCTTTAAGCGCAAACAAGACACAATCCTCGTAGATTATCCCGATCTGAGCCAGCCCTCTGCAGAAGAACTAGCAGAAAGAATGGAGGGCATGGAGGATGAGGAGTACCTGTGCAATGAAGCTCTGCTATCTGATCTCACCATGGGAAGGGACAGTTATGATTCAAGGCAGAAAAAAGATGAGGTAGCTGGCATCAGTGAAGGGGAGAAGGACCTTCAACGCAGCCAAAACACTGAGGAGTGCTGTTACTGTTACGAGGAGGAGGATGATCCTGCTATAATAGCAGAATATGCTGTGTTTCATTCTGGGAGCAGCAGCGAAGCGGAAGAGGCAACCCCAGAGGACCTGTTCATGGAGTTTGAAAATGAAAACGCAGCAGTGAAAAAGCAAAAAGCCAGTGATTCAGATGAAACAGGCACGCTGAGAAAGCGCTACACAAAAGGACTTGAGTAATAGTGACAATATGTGGATGCCATCTAAGTGGTGACAGTAAAGGTCAGAAACGTCAATCTGTGTGGTTTTTGTCCCTAAAGAACAGTGCTTTATTCTCCTTGTACTAACTTCATTCCCACAGTAACAGTCACCTGGTCTACCTGTACTGGAAGCCAATGCCTTCTTTCATGCAGTTCTTCTCAGCTCATTGCTGCTTTGCACTTTGTCATTGCTTTTAGGGACTGATACATTGAAGCAGGTCATTCCATTCATGTATTTGTGTTTTTATTTCTTTCCAATTTCTGAACAAGCAGTTCTTTGTTTACTCTTGAACAAGAAAAAAAAATCTTTTCTCAAACAAAAAAAAAAGAAAAAGATCAGTGTGTTTTCAGTTATGAAAATTAATCAAACTGAGATACATTGAAGAGATTCTTAGGAAGCAGGAGGAGAACCCAGCTCACCAGGACATATCTTGAGTTTGGGGAAAGAATAGCAACAACAAAAAAGGCATCTTTCACTACACGCTCGTGTCTGGTTTGTTGTGCAGTGGATATCTGCCATTGAGGCATCTCTTTTGCTTTTGTTTTCGTTGATTGGTTTTCCAGGTTACAGCTGCAGTCTGATGTTTACAGTGCGTATGTTATCCATAAAGAATCCCTACTGTAGGAATTAAAGAATAAATAACAGGAATAAGTTAATGATGGTGGAAGAGAGAAAAGGATAGCGAAAACATATTTGATACTCTTTGTTACTGGAAGTGTTTATCTTTTAAAATAATTTTGTAGACTTGATTGTATTTATTTATTTATTTATTTATTTATTTATTTATTTATTTCTCTGGACCTTCAACACTCATTCTGTCTTCACCATGGCAGTAGTTTGACCTCTGTCTCTGAGCAGGACTTGTGTTCTCTTTGCTGGGAATCCTGGCTGCACAACTACAGCATGCAGGACCTGACACGCAGTGTTTCTGTGAGAATACCAGATCAGATTTGTCCTGCTTTAGTCACTGTCCTTGAGCTGGAGCACATCAGCTGGTATCAGTCACTCACAGGGAAGGCCATTTTCACTGTGGGCATTTCTGGTTCTTCTCTAGACATAGTCAAGCTAGACTGATACAGCTGGATAACTTGCTAATCACAGCCTTTATTTGTTGACTTTCCAGTGTTAAGAGACAGATGAAGGCTGCGAAGGATGTAGCAATAACCCAACCTGCTGCCATGAGAAATAAGAATGCTTAGGTTTGCTGCACCTTTTAGAGATAGATTTTACCTGTCTGTATAAATAATGTGCTTATGTTGTACTTGAGATTCCAGCTGCTTATAATGGTATGTGAAATTTTAGAAGTTTGGTTTCATTTAAATTCATGCAAATCTGTGTGTTTAATTGTGTGCAGTGTATGGAAAAGTGGCACTATGCATGAAGTACAAGGTAGAGTTTTTAGCTATGTACACTGAGAAGCTAAAATGTAGCAAGTTGTTATGCATAAGGAACTCCAGGCTCCAGAGTGTGTTAGTTGTAAATATACTGCAGACTGCAGTGAAACACTCTTGCTGCTGCCAGCTCTACTCATTACAATCTTCAGAAGTCACTGGTTGTGTGTGTTGCACTGGATGGTTCATACATCTGTGGGACAGATGTTCCCGGTGACCTTCTGGTGGGCAGTGTGTCTGTACTGAATAGGCTGACCTGGCCTTAGAGACAGCACTGAGAATGAAGGCACAAAAATGTAGATGGTATCTTGTCACTTGTGAGCACTATATTAGCAATGCCCCAAATACTGCAGTGGTAAACCCAGTAGCCAGGCTGGTAACATGGCAACCTCTTGAAAAACAGAAAGGGAGATACACCCCTAATACCATAAATTTACTAACAGCATATTTTGATATGATGAAGGAGAATAAGTGATTGATAGTAAACTAAGGACTAGATCCACATGGCTAAGGGATAGCCAGCATTTTAGGTGGCATTGGCCTAGCAGTTCTGTTTTCTAAGCACAGTGGAAGAAGCATAAGGTTCCTGCTGTCAGGCAAGACCCAGCAAAGTTGAGAGTTGTTTCAGCTGGAAAGCAGAAATGCCAAAGGGAAGACTTACCTCTAAAAAAATGGTTTTTGGACTCAGAGGTTGCTATGTCAGCTTGTAAATCTCAGTAAGGAATTTGTCAAGCACTGAAGGGCTGTCTCAGCCTTTTCTCAATGGAAACTGAGGGCAGAGGCAGCTCACCACAGTAGTGGGAGGCACTTGTAAATCCTAGCACTGTGATCTGAAGCAAGGTCCTCAGCTGTCCCCCAGGGGTGGCCTACCAAGAGGCCATAGGTGTCTCAGCATGTCCTTTGGTGGCAGTTAAGTTCTTGTATCAGCAGGAGAAATAGCAAGAAATTGATGAGTGTGACAATACTGTGCTACCAGTTTAAGAGCAAAAATTTAATCCCTAAATCAAGACTGAATTTTGACCTTGGTCTCTTCCAACCTCCCAGTAAGAAAAAGTTCCCTCCTAGTGCAGAGAGCAGTTAGGACTGCTTGTGATACCTGTGACACACAGCTAACAGCTTCATATTCCTTTGCAGTGCCAGTAGGAGAAAATGATACTAATGCAGGGTGACAGTGTGGTGCCAAAGAGTCTAAACTGCTCTGGCTTGAGGTCTTGATCTCCTTGGCAGCATCCAGGGTACCAGGAAGTGCTCTTAGGACACAGCCTGTGATGCCTCATGCAGCAGCTTAACAGCAGCCTGCAAACTAATACTCTTCTTGTTCATATGACACTGCTTTTCTTTCCTTCAGCTTTCCTCCCTCTCTGAAACAGAAATGTGCATTTATTTGTTTTAGAAAATCACCTCAGAGGTTTGTCCAGCATTCTTAATTATAAGTAGCTTGTTTTTAGTGAGGAAGAGTTGTAATTAGAAGAAGAGAGTGTTATAAAATTGCATTCTGCAAAGAACCTCTATTAGACAATAAAATGAAAATCATAGGTCAGACCATCAGCAAACTCTGGACTTGGGGAAAAATGCATCAGCTCTGGTCTCCCAATGAAAGCAATTGGGCTTAGTAAAAGTGTTTGCTCTTTTACTTCAAATGTTTCTCAAAAAGATGGGTATAACTTTAATAAAAGTTAAATGAACAAGATGTGTTCTTTACCTTAGATATTCTGATAAAACTATTGCCAACACAGAAGTGCTAGTTATTCCTGGGTATTTTTAATGGTTACAGATGAGATCAGAAAATAAGGCACGAAATATGAGAGTTGGTCCCAAAATACACTGAGAAGGATTACTAACTAATGTTTGTAGAACAGGCAGACGTAGGAAGTTCATGATCTGACTCACTGCACCAGAAATTAGGGTTTTTATGTTGGTTTCTTTTTTTCCAGCTAACTGAGAATCTGAAAATCATGATTAATTTTGAGGTCACATAACAATCTAGTGCAATAATCATAAAGTGTTTTTACCTGCATATCAAAACATTGTTTATAACTCACATATCGCTAGCACTGGACAAGATAACCAGTTAAGAGTTACCGAGTAATCTGTGTTTCAGTCTTTTTGTACAACCAGCTATGCCAATGGAAATGTGAGTCATGGTAGGTCATGCAGCCTGAGTATGCCATGTACTGGGAAGGTTGTTCTAGCCAAGTGATTTTATTCAGCTTGGGAGCTTCACCTGTTTTAGGGAGGGGCAGATTCCTAGAAAACAAACAGGCAGCTGACATGAGGCTCACTTTTCTCAGTTGTCTTTCCAGGGTGTGTTAAGTGCAGCCCAGCCCTTCCTCTCTGCTGCTACCTGCTGTTGCTTGATGCAGAGATCACTCAAATGTACATTATTCCCGACAGAAGAAATTGTGACTCTCCCGTTAATGAAAGCTTCTAAGATTCTAAAATTGTTCATTTCTAAAATGATCTGTGCTGAGGGCCTCTAGAGCTGCAGTCAGGAACTTCTGACTCCAGTTTGAATTTGCTGTGTCCAGTGGAGAGATGGGGGACGTGTCTTTTCTCTTTTCCCATGGTCACTTGAAGCCTGGGGGGGTCACTGGGATTGTGCAATGGATTATTCCTGCCTAAGCTGTTCTTTGCTCTTGTCGTTAAAAATCTCTAGCCCTGGCTTCTCGGACCGCTTTTCAGGCTACGTTTTTGGCATACATAAATATTAGTCCTTAACAGATAGTGGAACTGGTAACAGTATTGAGGTTGCAGGACTTGAAGGTGTAACTCCAGCAGTAGGGACCTAAGACAGCAAATACTGGGTCTCTGCTTGGCCATTGTTCACTAAGGATCTCATGGTCCTCTTCATTTTCCTGCGGTGTGTCCAGATTGCAAGGCGTGGAGCGTGCAGTTCAGCAAAAGCTGGCGGGATGGAAAGGTTACAGAGCTGGTGAAGTTGGGACCATAAGGAGTTCAAATTCCTAATCTAGAAAACCTCTGTATTCCATGTAGGTAATTTGTTAAGGCATTTCTGATCTTAGGTATGATAAGACATAGTTGTTTCCAACAAATGAAGTTTAATATTTCTATACAGTGTTCTGTATTAACAAACAGCGACACCTCTGTGACATAAATAATGTAAATGATGTAAAAAAGAAAAAAAGAAATCAGTCGTATATAAAGATATACATGCAGTAAATAAACACATTACTCCAGAATTCCAAAGAGTTTCTTTAAAAAAAATTTACTTTAAAAAAGCACATTCCTGCAGTTTTACCTGAAACTTCACATAGGTCTCAACCAAAGGGAGATGCTTAGCTATTCAGAACAGGACAAGACATCTTGTGCAAACAACTGTGACAAAGTGGAGGCTTTATGAAGAGAACATGGCTGGTTCTCAGGATTATAAGACAGTTTTTGTCCATTTTGATATTTTCCATTTTTAAAATTCCATCAAACTGAAGGAAATCTAGACTATAATGGACTCCCATTTTCTTGTATATCATTGGTTTATTTAAGAAAGGCAAAGAGATGCATTAGAAAATGTCTACGGTCGCAATAAAAAAAGAAATCACACAACTGCTTTCTCAGTGTATGGGTACAGAAACATCCCTGTAGAAGTTACATTTTCTACTTGGAGAAGTTTACGTAAACAGGTCAGAAACAAAGCTGTGTTCCTCTTCACAGGCAGATACAGTCCCAACAAATGCTAAAGCATTCATTTCTGCAGCTCCTCGCAAACAGTGCATCTTTCAGCCCATCTCTTGCTGGATGAGAACAGTGTTGGGAAGCTCAGTGGCTGCCAGGAACTTTCAGAAATGTACCATGTCAGAAGTATGGGCTTTCTGAGATACTGCTGAAGGTGAATCACAGAAGGGCCTGGGCTGAAAAGGACCTCAAAGATCACCGAGTTTCAACCCCCCTGTTTTGTGCAGGGCTGCCAACCACCAGACCAGGCTGCCCAGAGCCACATCCAGCCTGGCCTTGAATGCATCCACGTGTATCAATTGCAAAATGTCCCCCACTGGTACTTTTGTACTTCTTCCCTTGTTGCCCTAAAAAGTGTAAGAAACTGTTCAAAAAGGAGACACAGGAGCCCTGGTCTTGTAATGATGTTGGTACAGATGGACTGACTGCCAAAAGGAAACGCACACAGTTGACCACCTTAAACACAGACATGTGTATGAAGACCATTTAAGAGAGTTTCTTTTTTCAGCTGGTCCACGTAAAGATTTCACTTGTTCAGAATGGTTTTAGAAGAGGAATCAAATGACAGTCTTTTAAGGGTATCTTGTGATAATTTTCTTGAAAACAAATTGGTAAATTATTCCATTCTGTCAGTGCAGACAGGGGAAAGGAAGGTCAATTAATCCGCAGCTAAGACTAATAGAATTTTAAGGCTATGTAATGTGTGTGTGTAGAACACACAGACTAGCACGATGTACCTTTGAAAATGTAGAGTAAATCATAAATTAAACCTACTCCTGATCATGAGAATCCTGCCTTGCAGGGCAGGTCTCTGTGCCTTCTTGATACTACACATCTCATCAAGGTGACCTTAGTTTCACGTCACTGAGGTCAAGCTTTTTTAATTTGAAATAGTTTCAATCACAAGTAGAGAATTGTACACTTTATAGAATCTAAGAAGATTAACAAAGCTCCAGTATTTATCTTTCTCAATACGTATTTTCTAGTACCCCACTGAATAAGGTTTGCTTCTTACAGACCTTATTTCCTAGCAAAACTGTATGCGATTTGGAATTCTTGTGCAGGGTCAGTTATTCAGTTATATCAGTTACACTATTCCTTCAAACATGGACAGCTATTAACAATGTTTTGTTTTTCTAAATGCCTCAATGAATCGCAGTAATAACATCAAATAATTTTATGGCATGTTTAATAGGAATGGTCAACTTCTTCCCTGGCTGACATTTTAGATACCCCTTTTAGTATGAACGAGGTACAGGCAAAGTCCTTGCTTCCTGCTAAGCCCCTGTGCAGAAGTCTGTATGCCAATAATGCCTGGTTTCTGAGAAGCCTATCAAGAGGAAAACATAAGGACTCTTGAGGAGATGTGCACCTATGGCACGATGGAGGGACAACAGAAGCTAGATAGAAACTTCCAGTTACACGGCTTTGGATTAATCCCTAATGTGAAATAAATGGGTGAAAATGTCATCATGATGAAATAAATAAAGCTCCACAGGAGAAAAACAGTCGCTACGGACAAACATAATGCAACAAAACCAATGACCACCACAGTCTACAAACAAGAACTGAAATGCATTACTCACTCGGAGGGATGCCAAGCAGGATGTTAATTCTCTGCCCAGAAATCACTCTGCTGTCATTCCCCAGCACGGAACCACTGCCTTGCTTGGGTGCTGCTGCGTCTCCAGACCTGTAAAGGCAGCTTGTTTTCTCTTCAGCTTTGTTCCCTGCTTCTGCACTCCTCTGACTTAACGTTCCTTTGGGCTTTGGGCTGAATATAGTGCAAGAGCTATAATGAAGTGTTATCTTCTGACGTGCAACACAAACGCCTGGAAAGTTCTACAAACCACAGGTCCCAATCTGTGCCTTCGGAAGGCGCTATTTCTTCAGGATTAGGAGAGCTGTATCTCAGCGGCTTCAGTTCTGCAGGTTCTTTTCTAAGCTTCCATGCACAGCTTTGCAGCAGTGTCCTCTGACTGGCGACAACACACAGGGTGGGAAAGAGCACACAGGGAGAACATGCACAGTTACATGGCGGAATGACAGTAAGCATGTAACGGTGGCACTGCTTAGTGATAAACCCATCCATAACAAATATGCTGTGTGCACGTTTCTGTACATGGTGGCTGCTTGCATGAATGCTAAAGTGGGCGCTTGTCCTCCAGATCCAGGCAGATAGAAATGAAGAAGAAAAAGAGAAAGGATGATTATTTTCTCACTAAAGAACAGGCACACCTGTGATGGCACTGTAAAAGTAAACCTGATTATGCTGGCATACTTACATCGTGCTCTTAACATCTTGCTCTGTTATACCACTAAAGCATCACTTTTAGCATAGTCCCAGGCATCTACAACAATCCCAGGAAGCTCAGATTCATTATGCAGCTGTCAGTTATTCAGAGAGGGCTGAAAACCACTACGGTAAGAGGACTTCAGGAATGAGGCCTGTAGTGCGCAGGTACTGAGCTTTGTGACTGCAGCTCAAGGAGGCAGCTATTAGAAGTGCTGCACTGTATGCTGTAACCACCACCCTGAGAATACAGAAAGGAAAATCCTTTTGCAGATGCTCTCCAGTGCCTCGGCCAGAAACACACTCAGTGCCTTACATTCACCAACAACCTTGAACCGTGCAACGTGACGAATCCTCCCGCTGAGGATTATGCAACCCAAATTAAAGGCCACCCTACTTTGAAAGGAGAACAGACACACAGGGATCTAACACACTTTAATTCACTGACACAGGTTTTACCAACTTTCTTGAGAGTCCCCATATGGAAAAACCTGTATAAGCTTGAAAAGAGAAAATTACAGATGGATAAATGTCAGCGATCATAAGTGAAAATGATGAAATCCCAGTAACACGTACTGCTAAGATGCTAAAAAGCAAGAAGGGGTTTGCAGTGATGCCAAAGAAGAATTCACCCTCACAGACACCTGCTACATAATCAAAAAGGCAGAATAACCAGTGCTGTTGTCCCAGAGCCTCAGGCTGATAGGCCAAACCTGTCACAGTGTCACTGAATGCAATGGCTCCAAAATCCAGAGCCATGTTCCGCACTCAGCTTTTGAAGACAACCCTGTTACAGTGCTTGTAACACTAAGCATCACTGCTGTAGCCCTGCTTGGAACTAGATGTCTGTTACAATACGTGGCATTTGTTCACATTCAGCCTACGCAGCAGCACACTCCATTTGCCTATAAATACAGTGAGAAGTGAAACAGAACCTCACTGATTTTTGCTAAGTGAAAGTAAAATCTCTATGGCCCAATTTAATTGAGTTGCCGAGCAGCTTTCCTGTTCCTGACACTGACACAGCCCTCATCTTTGTTCTTAGACGCCATCCCAACTTCTAACATGCATGAAACTTGATTTTAGCGTAATTATTTCAATTGCCTGATGAGAATTTTCTGGATTTTTTTTTTTTTTTTAAGGCTGACACTTACTGACCTAATAACAGATTGCCACCAAGATGTATTGAAAGATAGTGCAATAAAAAAAGCTGCCAACAGAAAGCTCCCTGAAAGCAAAGTGGTGCCACCTGAGAGGGGAGGTCTGTATGGTCAGACCTAACCTGAGATCCTGATGCAGTATGGACAGGGCCAGGAGCTGGCTGCTTATGTGAGAGCCCAGCGTTGAAGACAAGCTTAAGGAAAGCAAATCCTGCAGAAATGCTATCCAATCTGTAAGCTTTAAAATTAGCTGGATTTTAATGCTAAAATCTATAGGCGGGTTTATAGCCAACATTATTAGTTTGAGTAAGTTCACTCTATAAATTACTGATACTTCTAACGGCATCGTGCCAGCTGGGATAACCTCAGTAGAAAACACAGAGTTACAGGGACAAATGTGGGGAACAGACTGTGCTGTAAGCATCCCATGTGACTATAAGGGTAGCCTGAAGTTAGGAGACTTGTTTTTTATCAGCTGTGCATGATGATGGAGTCAAAGCCTGCCCTAACCACAGTTTGAGCAGCTGAGTCACATCCAAGGGGGGGGGGGGAATCATAGTCATTTCCAAATTGCTGCTATAGATGTAACCAATTTATAAAGTGAACTTTTTTTTTCCTCCTCAAGAATGTAAGCATATTTTTTCTGAATTATGTCCTTTTCCTAAATCAATTTAGCAAACCAGCATACTGCATTCATTAAACAATTTCAGGATGCTAATTCAAGTCTTTTCATTGCCAGTATGGATAAACATGCCCTTACTGAAAAGAGGGAATCTAAAATTTCGAGGCAGTTAAATGAAAACAACATAGAAATGCATTATCATCCAATACACAGGCATCGTTACTGGGCCATCATTCAATGCAAAACACCAACAGTGAGAGCTGTGCAAATCCTTTGCTCAGTTCCCTGGCAAGAACAGAAAGAATATTTACACAATTAACTCTGAACACTTACAGAGCAGAACCCCAGAAGGTATATTTCATATGAAGAACAGAAGCAACACAGGTTCATAAAGTAGCACATTATCTGTAGTAAGATTAGTTCAAGCCTTATATATGTAATTCTTCTAGTAATAAAAATAAGAGCATTTGAAATACCTGAGAGCTGTCAGCACCTAATTCTAGTAAAGGTGACTGCTGTTCTGTCCTGTGCTGTCCTTACTTGCCAAATAAAGATCTTTTACTGGTGAGGATGTGCTTCTCCAGAAAAAGGAACAGCTTACAAACACAGGTGTAGGACAGCAATGTGATAGCATGGGGGAACTAGCTACAATTCCACAGGATCAAATATTTAGAGGTAAAAATGGAGGTCTAACACTCAGCACCCATAGAGACCTCAGTGATGCCTGGGCTTGTTCAAAGAAAGTCCTCCTTACATCTTTGTTTATCCAAAGGGAGCAAAAACCCAGAAGGTCTGGCACTGGTTCTCCACAATGTCATCTGAGTGCACAGTAACGTTTTTCAGTCGTGCAGCTACCAGATTTTGGGAATAGCTCTTTCCACCAGATCTCTTTCATTCCCTCATAAGGATGCAATCTGTGGCACTACGGTAAGGCAACGTGAATAGTGAGATCTGCCCAGTCATTATAGCAAAACCATCCTTACAGCCTTCTTAGCATCAGAATCTCTAACAGCGTGCTACAGCATCCCTGTTTGATGGGATGAGTGCACCTTTATGTGCCACATATCCTACAAAAGGAACAGAGTGGTGTTTAGCTTCTAGAAAACAAACTGTTTTAGGGCACTGGCACATTTCAGTTCACAGAATCGCTTTAAGCCTTTTGAAAAGAAAAATAAGGCAGCACTACAAAGGGAATTTGTAGAACAGTCTGCCTCCAGGCTTGTGGACAGCTCTGCTCATTGATCTGCAACCAGTGATTTGGAAACTCTGGTTTACCCAATGTTGACTGAAAGAAATTGCGATTACATTTTAGGCAAGCTTTTCTATCTGCTTCTTTTTAATGTGTTAATTTGCTCCACTGAAAAGCCAAAGGGCCAAATTGCCCCCTGTGATAAGGCTTTTATTGTGGGAGCATCACTGGATGTGCACCAAAGGCATTATTCATCTGTGGAGAGATCACTGAGGAATATTGTCAAAATAAACACTTTTGAGTTGCACGTCCCTGAAGAAAAGATAAAGGGATTGTGAACAGAATGAGAAGGAACAGAACATCGGAGATGAAGAAAATTAGATAAAGGGCCAGGAAGAAACTGTTTGATGTACGCAGAGTGACAAGTTAGATTAAGAACTTCATTAAAGCATGCAGTATTTGCCTATAAGCAATTCAGGCAAGGAATTTGTTTACAACTCTCTGCCAAAATCAACAGCAGCTGCAAAAAAAAAATCAATAGCAAGAGTTTAAATCATATTAAATTTACAGTATCCAAACTCTCATAGGACTGTGTGAAGGAAATACACAGCTCGGTGCCATTCTACTCTTTGTCCCACTGAGTAAACAAGATTATGTTCTGTTGCACATTAATGTGCAGCTCCTCCAGAAGCTACAGCCAATATGAGTATGCCACTAAATACTCCTGTGCTACTTTCAGATGCACATATGTCTGAAAAATGCATGCTGATTCCAAGATTTACTGCTGCTGTGGAGGACAACGTAACTGTGGGGACTAAGGCATGACTCAGACAGAACCTGCTGCGACTTTACTAAGTTAGCAGAACAAAATCTGCAGATGTGCTGGAAAACTTGTAATATCAGCTGGCATTGCTAAGCAGCAGGGCCCTTCAACAGAAAGTGCCCACCAGAAATCAAACAGGTGCTAGTCCAAATTATGAGCAACTGCTTCTGGAGCGGAGAGCAGCGGTCAAGTGAAGGAAAGGAGCACTGCACTCAACAACCATGAGGAGTCAGGGGTTTGGCAAAGACCACTCAGCACAAATCTTGCTGTTAGTCCCAGGTTAACACCTCCCTGTGGTGACCTAAATTTACTGTGGGGCACTTCTTTCTCGGCAGCATGTTGGCTGATGTCCCTGTGTGACTGATTCTGTTACGATGACGGGAGTTTGAGGCACCACCTTCCTCCTGGCATGCTTACAGGTTAAAAAAATTCCTGGCCTGGAAAGAATACACGGCGAGAGTGAGGTTATACAGTGTGCTAGCAGCAAAGCTATTCCAAGATGCTGGACTCTGCCCTTGCCCTGCCCCTTATTCTCACCCTTGTGCACAAGCTTCTGTGCCAGTTCCCTGTGGGTCAGGGTGCAAGCGAGACCACTATTAAGATCTGGATTAAAAATAACCTCTCCTTAACCAACTCTGCTCTCAAAGCCAACACATTGTATATTTGCACCACAAGACGCTTAGTTACTTTAACAGAGTTTTGTGCACAGCGTGGCAGAAAACTGTCAGGTGCCACTTTCCCAGGCTATAAAGGCAACACAGGAGTGGTGATCACAGAATTAAAGCCACACGTTCGATCATCCACATGCTGCAGAGTTCTTGAAATCCAGAACAGGCCTACGTACCAGCACCAAGAATTCCTGTCTGCCCCTTTTTTGCAGTAGCTCAAGCAAAAATTCTGCTTTTCACTGGAGTTCATTTTTGAAGACTGGTGGAAGGTAACCAAAGGCATAAGGGCCCCCTCTGTTAAAAGCCAAAGTGAGATCATGGATGAGGATGTGAGGCAGTGGGAAACCACAGAATACACAGAAAAAGAAAGCATCCATGTCCAAAGTGCTCAGTATCAGACATCAGCTCATGACTCATCATTTTGAACACTCTTTGAGGGAATGGACTGCTCTTTTCTCTCAAACAAAAGGTGCCTTTCCACTTCATACCACTGTGTGGAAAAGCTTCTTGTAAAGAGATCTGAAAAAATGACAGAGCCTCCTGTTATTTACAGATGACATTTGACAGGCTGAGTCCATCAACAACACACTCCTCAAAGCCAGCAGAGTTTTCTCATAGAAAAGAAATATTAGAAAAAAAAATGACAGCATTACTTATTTCCATCCCTTATCTATCTGCAATTTTCTTGCCAGTATACTGGGAAAGAGACCTGAAGGCAAAACGGGAAGAAGACAGAATATTTCTTTTATTAGTTGAAATCATACAGTCCAGATGGCGCAACCACTCCTTATGGCCTGCCTCTATCGTATAAAAGGAGCTGACAGCTACGAGATGAGCAGATTTGATCTCATTTTCTCCTTATGTAATCTTTGGTTGTGCAACCAAGTAAAGTCCATAAAGAGTAAAAAGGTGGATCTGAGTACACACAGTATAAAATACAACTGCTTTTGCTCTTTACTCACATTTCAATACCTTTCTGGTCAACGACATACAGATCCTGTTACTTCACGTGTCATTGGCAATTACGTTATATGGAACAGTGGCAAAAAGATTCTCTTTCTTTTAAAGGTGCTTTATGCTGTGCTTTCAGTTGCAGCTCTTGGCTTCTGAGACATTTAGGGAAGAAGAGAAGCTCGTTCTTCGCCTGTGTTTTGAAATGGTATTTGTTTACATATCCCATTCAAATGAGAAAAAATGAGACAAAAACCTCACCCTATTTTAAGCTACTCGGTGTCCTTCCAGCATCTGATTTGTATGCAGCGTACGCTACGTTCGCCTAGAAGGATTCAGCTCACTAGCTGGCACGTTTACATCACAGAACAGCATACAGTTTCAAATGTTTTCAGGCATCATTACAATGGGAAATAAGTATGAAAAGTGGTTGTTGCTGAAAGTTCAAAAAATGCAGTCAACAAATAGTGAAATCGCAAAAGGCCAGACAGATTTAATAAAATATTTCCATTTACCTTCCTCAGCTTTACACAGCCTCCTTCAAATAAGAAGATTCTCTGCAGAGAGCCTTTACCCAACTGTTTGTATCACTTCATACAAAATATGGCTGAATCACCACAGCAATACAAGGCTATAAATTCCCAACACGCAACATGCCAAATTCAACGTACGTTACGATTTCTTGGCATCTAGAGCTTTCCCTTTTCTGTACTCCCCCATACATTTTCATTTGAAACAAATTAAAAAGCACATAGATGTTAAAACATAAAGACAGCTTAGAATTTAAGTGACTTGTGCAACATTATTTTGTGCTTTCTACTTCTCCTTTTCCTCCTACTGTGATTAAAATTCATCATGCCCTTCTCTACACGTACAATAGTGATACATCGAGTTCAGTCCAGATAGGTTTTCAACCCTCAGACTTGGCCGTAAGCTACGTGAGATCCTTGCAAATTCAAAAAAGTGCATTATTTTTTTGTTTTTTTTGTGATCTTTCTTTCATGTTGGATGAAGTGAAGATCTGATTATTCGCTGTAGGAATGCAACCTTGAGGTACGATTGCAGCCTCGGAATAATTCTTACAGTGTAAAAAGAAATTTGTTGAGAGCGCACTTTCTGGGTTTCAAAAAGACACACCGTTGTAACGGTGCTACTAGAGCCACAGTAGATCATGGCACACCTCCAGAACATAATCAAGGACATGAGATAGAACTTCTATTTACACAAACTCGAAGCCGCTTCCAGAAAAAAATATGACAGAAAAAGAAAAAGAAAAAAAAAAAAAAAAAGAAAAAAAAGAAAGCAATATTTCCTGAATGTCCTGAATTTTTTAGAAGGTTCCTTTTAAATTTCTCTCCAGCAATCCGGTGGTCCTCCACAACTGCATTCTCCCTGACCTCAGTACGGACCATAAGTGACACCGGCAGGGATTGGGAATCATACGGCAAACCGATTCCTCTGAGAGGATGCTCTCCCACGCCCCTTTACTCACAAGCCAGCTTGCTGTCAAAACTTGAAAGGGCAATAGCAAAGGCTTGTAGAGCACACATTGGGTAGTTGTAGTCCATGGTGAACACGTCCTCAGCCACGCGGCCAAACTGCATCACTATATACTCAGCTGCAAAAAGGCCACAAGAAGCGACAAAGCATTAGTTTTGCTTGCAGCTCTCATGAAATAAGCATACATGCAACATCCTCCTCTGGCCCAGCTGAACAAAACACAAACTCGCTCCCATCAAACTTCACAACACGTAACTCGTGAAAGTGGGTGTGGTGATATCACAGGGAGAAGCAAGGATAGGCTGAGTGAGGAATATCTGAGTGACTAAGGATTGTGAGCCTTGTTAGAAAATTACAGATCTGGGTATTTCTGCAAATACAGGAGGAGGTTTCTCCATAGAATGTTCAAGTGCATTACTTGTGCTGAGTTTCACATGTATCAAGAATGAATTAGTTCTATTCCTACTTAATTACAGGCAAGTGGACAAGTAAGGATAAGGGGGGAAGAAAAAATACGACTGTGATCTAGATGTTGTCACGTCTCTGTTCTGTCAACTCAAAAAATACTCCATATTTTTCCTTTTTTGTACTCTTTGTCCTCTGTCTCAAGAACGAGGCAGAGGAGCAGTGAGTTGGACCCAAGCAACTAAAATAAACTCACTCAGGTAACAGCAAGGGCAGAATCACTCTCAGGTTGGGTATGCAGTACTGTTGCTACGCATTACAGATAAGGAATGATACTTACGATCATTATCATGAATAATTTGGAAGTTTTTCACTGAGGCCTGTGTGACTCGACCATGGAAATTTAAAACATAGGACTGGGTGTCATCGTTCCAGACGGGAGTTTTGTTGTGCAGCTCAATGACGCTCTCTGTGTTTTTGTTCTGCCATCTTGCAAGCAGCGTCTCGTGTTCCTGCACACAGCGCAGATGAACGCTTCGGTTTAACAGTCTCACAAGATGAACAAATATATTCACGCAAAAAAAACCCCACACGACTCCATTAATCAATCCCAAAGACTTAACTGTCGTTCTCAATTCTCAGCACAGCATCATAGAATGAAACAGAGATTTCTGAGTATCTTAATGAGGCTGTGCGCTCAAGTGCTTTCCACACCTTGGAAAAGGTTAGCTGTATCTTTTGTTATCAAAGTACAGTTCTGAACAGTAGTGCTGTGCTGAGTCACAGAACTAGTCACACATCATTATTACACATATAACATACATTGTTATTCATCTGTTTAAAATACTTGTTTAGTCTCTGAATCTCTAGAAATGAAAAGAATAACAACTGAAAAAAGAACAAACTCTAACTGAAGGAGAATTCAAGTAGTTTTTTATGACTGACCGATGGCATGACTTACATTTCTTGGTCTGATGGAAACTCTTTCATGGTCCATATTCATTCCTGGTATGATCACACTCATCTTACGAGGTCCTTTGAAGCCCAGGACATTTGTTTCCTAAAAATATTTAGAAAAGAGTTCATCATATTCTGTATTTTTAAAGTCCACTTCTTCAGCAGAGGAACAGTGGAGCAGCAGCCCATGGGCCTTAAGTCAATCCATCAAAAAATATTCTGAGCTCCCACATTTACTTGCATGCCAAACATTCCAGCTTCATCTGAGCAACTCTGACAACAGGAAAAATAGAAGCAGGCATGTTTCCAAAGACATTCTCAGCACTGGGCACCAGCAACCTTAATACAAGTTTAAAAAAAAAAAATCCCTTTGTTAAAGATAAGGATATGGACTAACCAGATTGTTTGGGTACTGCTAAAACTGAAAACAAAGTAGTTGTAATTTAGAAAACATAAAATGCAGTCACACATTTTGATGGGAGACCAAATTAAATACATTTATTCCAGAGTCAGCACAAGGTTGAACAAGAAGAAGCTGCCAGGAAGAGTGTCTGTTGCCAGTGCTGTGGCTTCCCAAGTCTTTGGATATGTTATGCTTAGAGATGAGCATGGCAAAAAAAACCCCAACACAACACATTAGCATGAATGCAAATTTTTGAGCTATGAAAGCAGAGAAATAAAAGAGATACCATGGGCACCAACATGAAATACAAGTTCCTCCATTAAGTGTCATTTGATGTATTTCTGACCAGCTTTTTACAAAAGCATCCAGTACTGTACTCTCCTCTCAAAACAGAACCACGTGAAACAGTGATACCTCAGAAAGATCCAATCCATCCCTTAGTTTGTGGTATTTTTGGGGGGGGAGGGAGACGTCAGGGGTGTCACATGTAACTTTCCCTTTCACCTTTGCCACGTGCAGGGGTCTGTGCAACATTTACTAGCTATGGAACACATTTTTCCATCCATCAGACCTTTGGTTATTTCAGCAAACCATCTGGAGATTCTAAACAACTCACCGAAGTTTTTAATGCACACAAAGAAAATTCCACAGAGACATTTTAATGAATACTCTTGAAGCAATCCAGGTATATTTATATATCTCCACGACTATATGCATTAATTGGAAAAATTGAACCTCTTTTCTGAATCCCTTACATCATGGCCCTCGGCAAAGTAAACCAATGTTTAGTTTAGCTGGAGGCATCTGCTTGGTTTTGTATAGTGACAAAACTCAAACTAAAAAGGCTGTCAGCAGATTTTATATGCAGGATGAGAGATTCAGCAGAGCAGAATACATACATCTAAGGTGCATGCTCATGCTTACTTTCCACTAGATACTGACAATATTGCTCTTCTCTGCAATGCTTTACAAGCTTACTGCTCCATAAGCTGCAGTTACGCTATATACTATACATTACTATATACATTTAGATGCTGACTGGTTGAAAACATTGTAAAATTAAATAGTGCTGAATCACTTTCCTCCCAACAAGTAGCATTATCTCTCTGCAACAATCTGACTGTGCTCTTTGGATTTTACTTACATGCTAAAAATAAGCATTTCTGCCAAATGTTAAGGGAATTGTTTCTATTCTCACACTGTTTCAATCAACAATTACATCAAAGATTTCTTGGCAAAAGTGACCCTTTTGCTAAGCTCAAGGAACAGGATTAAGATTCTAAAGGTGTATAACATATGAAGAAAACAGTAGGGACAAAAGAAGAGCTTCAAGAAAGAGCAGACCTTTCCAGTATACCTTGCATCCAAACACAATTAGTTCCCTTGTCCTTTTCCCTTACCTGCTTCTCTGCTATGTCCCTGCTCCACTACACTGTGTATACATTCAAGACTACAAATAGCATTCATAGGGGAACATAGGAACTCACAATTGAGTCACCCCAAATACGCCTTCAGCAACTTCACTCTCTGGACTTGATTTACACATGTACCTTGTCCTTCCTATATTCTGCAGATTCCTTCCAGAGGAAGCCCAGAAGCTCAAAACTACATTTGAGCACAAAGAAAGCGATTGCAGTTTGAGCAGAAAGATGTATTTTTCCAATATTTGAAGGGACAGGAGGGGCAAAGGCTGTTTACAAGGGTGGATAGAGATAGGACAAGGGGGAATGGTTTTAAACTGAGACAGGGGAGGTTTAGGCTAGATACTAGGAAGAAGTTTTTCACTCAGAGGGTGGCGATGCACTGAAACAGGTTGCCCAAGGAGGCTGTGGATGCCCCATCCCTGGAGGCACTCAAGGCCAGGCTGGATGTGGCTCTGGGCAGCCTGGTCTGCTGGTTGGCAACCCTGCACATAGCAGGGGGGTTGAAACTACGTGATCATTGTGGTCCTTTTCAATCCAGGCCATTCTATCATGCTATGATTCCCTCCAGTCTTTGTATATGTAGTTTTATTACTGCTTTATTTAAAGTATAGCCATACCTTGCAGTATCAGCTGAGCTCCCTGCCTGCAGAATCTGAATTGTGAGATGCTAAGGATGTAAGAGAAGCTGCAGCAGAATCTAGTGGTACAAGCAGTACAGTTACACCTCCCTGCCTCTTGATAATTTTGCCAAGCGATTCTGCAATCAGCCATTAGGTGTTGCTCTAGGTTTATTAATATGCCAGCCTGCCATCGTCAAGAAGAGTAAATATGGCTAAGAGCACTTGTTAAAACTCCGTTATTGCATTAACTTTATTAAATATTACTTGGTTCCACCCAAAATTCAAACCCTATGTATGAGAGCCCAGCCCAAACGCTCCCTGAACTCTGGCACTTGAGCCTATGACATTACTGTGGGCAGTCTATTATGGGGCCTGCCCACCTTCTGGTGCAGAACTTGCCCCTAACTCCCAGCTGCCCCTCCCCTGACACACTCCATGCCAATTCCCTTGGGTCCTATTGCTCTCACTAGAGAGCAGAGCTCACTCCCCCTAAAAGGAGCTGCAGCCACAATGCGGCCTCCTCTCAGCCTCCTCTGCTCTGGGCTCGACAAACTAAGGGATCTCAGCTGCTCCCTCATACATCCCATCCTCTAGACCCTTCATCATCTTTGTTGCTCTCCTTTGGACACTCTACTAATTCTACATCCTTCTTATATTGCCACAAACTGCACAGACCTGGAGTGGTCCCAGCTAACCAGCAAATTTTCCCAATTTTCACGAGGGGCAAGAGAGAAGATGCTGCAGTTGGTCCCATCATCAGTGTTGAAAACATAGGTGAAGAAGGCATTAAACATCTTTGTTTTGTCTGCATCTCTATTTATGTGGTGATCATCCTCATAAAGTAACCAAGCATTGTTATTTCTGCTGTTACCATATTTAGAAAAGCCCTTTTTGTTGTCATCCACAGTACTGGCGTGTTTCAACTCCAATTGTGCTTTGGCCACACAAATTTTCTATCTACAGTGGTGAGTAGTCTCACCACTCAGTAGTCTCAGTAGTCTCTCTAAGTCTTCCCACATCACCCAAACTCACTTCCAATGCCCATACAGAATTGTAGGGGTTGGAAGGGACCTCTAGAACACATTATTTTTCCACCTAAGCTCTAAAAGAAGATCAGTGAGAGCAGATGCATCAACACTGTCTGACTGTATAAACTCGAATGCTGAATCATCAGCAGGTCAGGTGCAGTAAGTTGGTGGCCAGGTACAGCTTGCTCTCCTGATGGGTACTTGACTGGACGAGCTGAAAGACAGCAAAGAGCATAGTGGTGCTTTCAGCCTGTTGTTTCTTACAGCTTTTGCTGCAGGAAAAATCTCAAGGCAGGATTTAAAAGAATACTTTAGGACAAGGGTGTTTCAGGAGTGCTCTTTATAGCATTTTTTACTCTGGTTCTGCTGCAGCCAGCAACAATAATCTTATCTTAGCAAACCTATCTATTAATGAAACATCATTCAGATTTCCTTTTGTCCTCTAGCCATAGCACACCTGCAAGCCTTCTGCCTTTCTCCATGACATCAAGTGGAATGAGTCATCTTCTTATACAAATGTACAACTTTTATACTGCTGATCTGAAAGCAGGCATATAAAAACAGCTTTAGTGTTAGCCACATTTTCTCAGAAGCCATGCTTCTGTTCTTTGCAATATCTGCTCTGCATTTCCAAATACTTCTACTGGCTGCAGCGGAGTTGTCTATTTGGTAACGTTAATGGTTCAAATATCAGTGTTATTCACTCTTACAAGTGCCTTGACTTTTCAGTGCATGACCTTTTTTGAACTGTTATTGTGTTCTCTTTGTATTTCCAGTGTGCACCAAACAATTACCTGGATCCAGTGAATGCTCTCCTATGTAAACCGGTAAAATTCCCTTTAAGAATGCAAGTTACTCTAGGTTCTTACTGACACTTTAGTTGATGAATAGAAACTCACATCAAATTCTGGACTCTGATGTGAAATCCTACTAACTGGATTGCTCTTTACTTTCCTTTTCCTTTCCTGCTTAAAGCTTCCAGGCTCCCCACATTTCTTCCCACATCCTAAAGCTAAATCTTTCCAGAAACACATTCTGTGCATACAAAGGCACACGCTGCGATGGCTAGATTTCAAACAGAAAGAGCTCCAGGCATTCCTGATTAGATCTGGACAGCAACTTTTCAGACAAAAGTGTTCTTGGGTATTTTTGTCAGTTATTGAACTGGGAAAACAGAAAGCCTTCTGTAGAACTGCACTTACCAATTCTGACTGGAAGAATTCTTCAGGCCCAGAGATTTCTGGGCAGAAAGAATACTCTCATCGTAACAGTCATCCAGGAATCGTTCTAAAACAACAGCTGTGCTTTAAGTCCTGACTGTCTGCATTGCCCCAACAAACACTGTTTAGTCTCCTCTAACAGGCTGGTTTCTCGTTCAGTTGCATTTTAGATTTCATTTTGTCTTCCTATTAAAAAGGAGTTTAATAGCTTTGATTAGCCTCTTATCCATCTACCTGTGTTTTGCATGGCAGGGGCCTCCTCTAAAATATCATTAGAAATTATCAGGCCCTAGTGCAGTAATTCCATGTGTGCAGCTCCTTCCAGTTCTGGAGGCTCTCTCAGATGATGTCTGCAGGCTGTGAAGCATCCTACCCCTTCAAGAAGGTTATGTAAAACCTCTAACAGCTTTTGACTGAAAGTGAGAACTGGGCAATGTGGTTCTGTGCACAATGACTTTTAACTCTTACTTTCCACCGAATTTCCTGGTTTCTCTATTGAAGATCAGATGTTTCACTACAAGAAAGTGCAAATGTTGATTTACATAACCTTAAGTGAGAAGGAAATTCAGTGTGCTGTTTCAGAAACTGAACTGCCCTTTCTTGCATATTTTGCCTGTGAGCAGTACTTACATAACAAATAGCAGCTAGCTCCTGACGCAGGACACTCGCCTCCAGGCTTGATGTTGTTTTCATTGGATTTACTCCATTGTCATAAACTGTAAACTTAGTTCCCATAAGATTTGATCTATCAAAAAAATGGAAAATCCGATCACCATTTGTCAATAACACTGCCTCAGACATCTATCCTTTACTGCATTGCAGTTCCAAAGGACAAAGAATATGAAGTACAAATAGTTAACTCTAATCCCAACTGAATGGTAACTTCTAGGTTAAAGGCCACAACAAAAATGTAAAGGTAGAGCAGGACACAGTAAAGTTCCCTAACTGAAGACTTCTCGTGGCATCTCAGAAACTAGTAAATTCAAGAAGGCAATTAAGAAATGTCTGAGTGAGGTTGGGGTTATCTTGTCTGTTTTTTGTTGTTGTTTTTTTTTTTACAAAATGCTTGCCATCTAAAATATCACTGGCTTTCTCACCTGACTGCTACTCTGTTGGACTACAGACAGTGATTTTCATAAGGTTACAAATAAGATTGGTTTTTACTGCTTAAATGAAAATCATATCAAGGACTGCAAAATACAACTTAGAGCACACTAACACTGCATTATCCTCATTCTGTGTTTGCACTGCAGTAGCACATGAAGTTTTGAGATCCATGCAGGCAAACAGCAACTAGTAGTGTAGTTCCTTTCCTCAGGCACAGACAAACTAAAGACATATTGAGAGGCACCACGTATGTCCCAACAACAGATGGATGCATGATGAGATGACAGACAGAAAAGAAGCAAGTGGTTCTGAGTAGAGTCCACTACATGCAAATATCTCTAATTAGGATCTCAAGAAATGGGCAAAACCGAAGAGATTTTCAGATTATCTAAGAGACAGAACTTCCAAAGTGTTTATATCAATAGTGGGTAGACACAATCTGCTCATGCACTTCTCAAAATCTCATTAAGATAAGCTGTCTGCATCTTCAGATGCCCATAACTCTTGAGAATCTGGCCTCTGAGTGTTTAAGAGCCTCAGTCTGCTGACTTTTAATTATTTATTGATATTTACTTGAGAAATTTTGAAACCATGTCTTGGATACTGCTTAACTGCATTACCACTACCATCTGATTTATCCAAACCTCCAAAGAAGAAGTCACATTGAATAAAGGCTTCCTAATTTTATATGAACTATACTAAAAAAAAATAATCTGATATGCTTCAATCTTTACCTCAGTTTTCCAATAAAACTCTCTCCACCTCGAGACAGGTCAGTTGGGTCTATGGAGATGAGGTAATTAGAGGTTTTACTCTTCTTTCGTTTCCTTCCAGCTAACAGAAACACCTGAGCAGTGCAAAAAAACCATCATGTTTTAGAATGCCAAAGGGGTTAGAACACATCACATCCTGCTTTGATATAAGGAAACCATAGGCAATTTTTCTGTTTTCTAGCATCATAAGCGAAGTAAAAGAAGGTTTCCTGGCACTTAGCAAAACCAGATAAAAATCAGGACAGGAAAGTGAGTTCTCAACCATTCAGTCCATTATTTATGGTTTAAATAATTAAATCCAATCTATTTTGTTAAATGTTTAATTCTAGGTTGCATTGTCTCTTCTGCTGGAATTGAAAATAGATGTTTTTCAGGCCACGGAATGCAGAAAGGCCCCAGTTGCTCTCACAAAAAGGTGCCATGCCTGGATTACTTAAAGCCAATGATTAGACATATGGAGAAAGGCAGCAGAACAAAGTGATATTGTTCTGCTTTTGGAGGACTAGGGCAGGTCTCAGTGATAAGGCATATAAAATACAAGATTACATTTTCCTTGTAAGACTTCTTCAGATTTTTTATTATTTTTTTTTTAATATTCAGATGCAACTGTTATGCTATTCAAGTTATTTTATGACCTTTTTACCATGCTCCCTTTCCAAGTGGAGGTAATAGGTAGGGTACATCCCTCGATCCATTCCTTTCTTGTCTCTTGTGATTCTGCATTTGACGGTGGCACCCTGTGGAGCAGGTCTTACAGCAAATTCCTCCAGGTCATCAACATCTATGAGAGGCTCATTTGTGGAAGGACTAGGGGCTGAGGCCACTTCCTAAAACAGAAGGGAAACTTCAAAATATGAAGGAGTGACATTTGCTAACAGCCGCGCTTCAAAAAACACACAAAAGGGACGCAGAGTTTCCTCCATTCTAGTTCCACAGAGGCCTTCAAGGCAACTTATCAAACTAAGGACATCTCCCTCAGCTGGTTGAGCTCTCACCTAACAAAGGCCCACAAAGCAGTTCTTTGTCCTGCTGATGCTGAGCACACAGACACATCTGGCAAAGAAGAACCGGCAGCTGCACAGAGTGCCGTCATGTTACAAAATCAAACTCTGGCTCACACTTTCCATCTCAAAACTTTCCTCTTTTGAGAAGGTTCATACCCGTGGACAACAGTGTTCTTTGATGAAAAGAAGATATTGGATGGCTGAGAGACAGTTTAAGGTACAGAAAACTCTAAGAGGGAGGAGAAGTCAGTTGAAGTACACAAAGAAGTGAGCCATCGTCAACTGGATTAACAAGAGCTGGATATTCGAACCTCTGAAGCTTTGTTTTACCTTCAGATAGCACCAACAAGAGCAGAGTGAAAAAATGCTTAGAAAAAAAGACAATAGAAACGAAAGACCCTTCTGAGATCCTGCAAGAGGCAGAAGGGTAAATATTTACAGTTTAACTTTCTCTTCATTCAAGTTCATTCAAGTTCGCTGGAGTCGCAATAACGACTCCAAGTCATTATTTTCATTCCTTCTGTGAAATGAGAGCTTTCACAGTAAGTTAGCTCAAAGATGCTGTAGTTCATATTGAAAACAAAACAGAAAAACAGGCCTATCCTGACTGTGCTCTGAACTGATGCAGTACACAGTGACCCACATGCTCCTTCTTCAGCACTGACCCCTTACTTACCTTACTGGATTTCTTGCTTGTGGCAGAACCAGGCCGGGTGTTACTGTTTAGCTGGGAAGAGCTAGAGCTGTCTGCATCTTCCTCATCCTCTTCCTCATCGAAATTCATGCTGCTTGAAATGCCTGAGGAGAAAGCAGTGCACTATGATATACTAATACTTGACATAAAAATATCATTTCTTATGTTGTTGCACCCTTAGGCTTACTGGTGAGAGAAGGAATGTGTGTGTGAGGGGCTTCATTATGTGAGGCACCATACAAACAAGTGGTGAGACAGCACCTGCATGGAGAAACCAAAACATGAGGCAGGAAATAGCATGGTCTCCATTCCACAGAGAAGACTGTTAAGCAGTGATACAAGAAGAATACAGAGTGAGAAATTAAATATAAATTTCAACCCCATCAAGTACTTCAAACACAGCATGACTGAGTAGACAACCTATCACGGCCATTTGGAAGCCTTAACAATTAAAATAGGAACACTTCTACAGCACACTTTTAACAGTTCCTGTGAGATCCAATAAAAAGCAGATCTTACACTGAGAAGAAACCATTCATTAAGGAAACGTTCCTATGCATATTTATTTCATGTAAAAAAACAGTACCAGCCTAGGCCAAAGGTTCTGCCTTAGAGTGCTTAAAAATCTGACTTTAAAAGAATTCAAAGCCTCAGACATTTCAAAGGGGAACAAAACTTTGAACATCAAACAGGGCTGGGCAGCAAAAAGTATCCAACGACGGGACATTTGCCAGGTGTAGTTTTTCAGATGAAGCCACCCTGTACTCAAGTTTCTCATATCAGAGGCAGACTACGCAGTGTTTCTCACTCGCTTTCTTCCCCCCAACCCTCCCAAAAACATGAAACAAAATAAACCTACAACCATCTGGTCCAGAATCTCTGCTATTGTTAAGCCTGACACAGAAGCATAAATTAAACTCAATGATTTCCAGGGCTAAACAGCGTGGGCATAATGAAATTCTTTCTTTCTGTACTTACCAGGAGCATGATCCAAGGCGACCAGACTGGACTGGGAGGTGGAAGAGGACCAGGATGTGTTTGCATGGGGATCTGGGAAAGGAAAACATCTAAGGGAATGATTCTGCAAACTCAAATAACTCATCAACAGCATTCTTCACAGCACTAAAGGCTTACCACATGTGGCTAAAACACTGCTGCCACAGCTTTCAATTAGGAACATCATGCCTTTCTGCACAACCAAATTCGCTTTCCATTTACTATACCCACTGTCACTTTTTTAGTGATTTAGAATAAAGCCATATAGTCCTGATTCATGGAGCTCAAGCTTCAGAAAGCATCATCCATGCTAAAAGGCTGTGCCACAAACACTTTTGTGAACAACATGCCCTTCATAGTAAGTTTTTGGCCTAATTCTAACACACACACACCAAAAAAAAAGCCCTTCCAAAACACAGGTTCTATACTAATATTTATTCAGTAACACTGAAAAAGAAGTATTCAGATATTTGGATGGTCTAAATTCTACCTAAAACCCTGTGCCAAATGTGTGTGCATTATCTATCTTAAGCTATCTAAATGGTGCTTCTGAACTCCCACAGGTACACGCAGAGATTTTCAGGCAACTCAGTCACTGGAGTATGAGCTTGGTCTGCAATAAGCAGAGACTGAACTACCATAGAAATATAAATACTAGAGTCTGTACCAGTAATGGTTTGCTTCACTTCCAATTTTGGAAATGAATGAGGAAAATAGACCAAAAAGCTCTTAAACATTTTTTATGTTATTGCTCTTTCCAGTTACTTCAATACACGCCCTTTAAAATAGCTTTTGACACCAGATGCATACCTGGCAATAAAACAACACCAAAGCAGTAAGAGCGAATAAAAATGAAACAGAAGCATACTGCAATTTTTGTATTTCATTCAGCTGTACCATAAGTGGTCTCACAGTCTACTTCTTCAGTTGCTCCAGTGTGGCCATACAGCACCCAGCACGACAGCAGAAAGCTTTAGCAGGACGTGGGTATGCAGGGGAGCCTGAATTCATGGGTCAACTGGTATTTTTAAAGCCTGCAGAACTCACTCATTATTAATCATGCACATTAATCACAAACATTAGTTGTTAATGATGACAACCAATGTTCTAGTCATGGTTAGGAGAAGGAATCCATCTCTTCAGCTGGCATCCGTGCAGAAAAGCCATACTTGCATACACTGCTATGCACAGCCATAGATAATTTGCTTCTACATTCAGGTAGTATGTTGGTGGGGAAAATTCTCTGCCTGTTACAGAAAAGCCTGCAGGGAAGACTTATGGGAAAGAATGCTTCAAAGAGCTCCTGTGTTGTTCTTGAATCCAAAAATCAAATCTATTCCCTCTCCAAATTTCAAAAGAGCTGTAACTTTAGGTGGAAAGAACTAAGACTGGGGGGTTGGAGATTCATGATCCTTGAGGTCCCTTCCAACCCTGGCCATTCTGTGATTCTGTGATCTGTGTGAAGAACAAATTGTTCATCCCAAGTCTTTACAGAGACATACAAGAAACTGATAAGTTTGAAGACTGAAATTTAATTACTGAGTGGTGAAACCTAGAGAAGTCTGGCTCTGTCCTAGTGACTCATTTGCCAGCAGGGACCTGTACATATTAAAACTTCTGAAATTAAAAGGACAAGTATTTCCTGCAGGAAGTAACTGATTCTAGCTATGGCAATTTCCAACAGACGGAGAAATCAAATAAAACATTTGGCATCTTCTTGCAAACAGCATATCCTCTTCACACTCAGCTATCCTATGCCCCCTAACTGAGCTTGACTTGCTGAGTGATCCTCAGAGAGGAGAGATGCATATGCTGAGAGAGGTTTCTCTTCACAAAGTTAAAGTCACAGAGCAGAACTGGCACAAATCAGGGTAAGCAAATCTAATGGGACTTGACCTGCCTCTTCCCACTAGGCCAGCTAGCATTCAGCTCAGTGGTTTTCTCCTCTTGCTCCTGTTACATGCAAGAGGTGGACAAATGGGAAAAAGCCATTCTAAATGCTTTGCAGACCAATGGGGACACGTCAGAAAGGAAGCAGCAGTTCACAAGCAGTGAAGCAGCAGTGGGAATCCACATAAAAAGCCCTGGCTCTACGTAAAGGTTTCCAGGACTACCGGGATACTATCAAGTCTCCTTTACTGCTATCAAGTGCAAAACCACATAGGCAGAAGTAAACATATTTTATGGAGATACTACTAGTTGCAGTCCTGTCTTAATACTGTCTTAATACTTTTGTGTCCCACAGACAACAGTTCTGTTGTTCATAAAAATTATCCCCAGCACTCCCAAAAACAAAGCCCCTACACAGACTTGAAGCATACCAGTCAAACAGCCTCAGCAGTGTCTGCTCTGGTCAGCAGTATGCTCAGTGCTGGATAAAAAAAAAAAAAAAGTCATGCCATATATTGCTTCTACTGAGAAAACAAACAAAAGAATCGAGAGAATAACATCAAAAATAGAAATGTCCCTCAGAGTAAAAATCTGACTGCTCTGACCTAATTTGAGAAGTCTGCTGATAATTTTTAGGTCCACCAGCTTTAGTAAGTAGTGTGTCCAACTATTACATATTCTGAGCCATAGTCTAAGTCAACACAATCATCACACAGATCAGAACTTGTTAGTCATGCCAACATTCCTTTGACTCAAATGCCCAGGAAGTGCCCCACTTGGATAAAATATGCCTGTTTCAGTTGAAGTTGCTCACATCTGCAGAGTAATGTCCCAGAAAAAATGAATCTTAGTGAGAACTGTGCTGCAGACAAGAAGCGTGCATTTAGATATGAATAGTCTATTCTAGATGAGTCAAGTTTGCACTTACATTTTGCTCTTTATACACAAGGAGTTTATTCTTAAAGCATGAGAGTACGCTTGGCTCAAGCCATCTTAGCCTCAAAAGCCATGCACTGAAGAAGAACTCCTCCTAAATAAAAGCTTTCAGAAAAAGCTCTGTGAAGATTTTAGGATTTTTTCCTTCCTACGGATAATGTTTAACAAAAGATAATAACACTGCAGGAAGGAAAGCACAGATGCATGAATGCATACATACACAGTCTATCTCCTAAATCATGTGTGCCTTTAGGAAAAAAAAAAACAACAGAGAGCATTTCAGGACAACGTGGGACAAATGCTGCAGAATGCAGTATTGTAATTTTCACCTCTCCAAGCATGAACATACATTGTGAAACCGTAATAGAGTTTAACCAACAGCAAAATTAAAACTAATATTCTAGTTCAAATATTGTTATTCCATATTCTTCATCAGCTGTCACATAAGTGATTTCCGGAGTCATAAAATATCAAAATGTAACAGATGGATATAAGCATTAGCATCTGCTTGGTGTTTCAGTAGCCACACTGTACTGCAGATGGGAATATCACAGTTCTGAGAGCCTGGGGAACATTTGTTCCTTGGGACAAGAGAGAACTTCATTATTTTTAGAGACAGAATAGAAGAGAGCCTGAAAGGAAGAATATCAATCTCTGCTAGGGCTGAGCATGAGAACAAGAAAAGGAATCCATATCAATAAAGCTAGCAATGAGAATCTGAAGTGGCTTTAGCTACTTACCCTTTTTCTGCATTGCTGTTTTAAGGTCCTGCTTGCTTTGCTGTTGTTGGCCAGTAGCCATTTTCTCTCCATCATCTTCATCATGGCTAGACTGCCCAACAGTGAGAATCTGCACTTGACTTCCTGCTTTCTGAACATCATCTTGAAAAGCAGCTGGGCCATCAATTCCTGTCAGACAACAGCAACAGCCTTAGTTGTCATTGTGTCAAGAAGTTACTGAAAAGAGAATCACTCCCTTATAAAAAGCATGCTTCTAGGACACAAAGGCTCATATTTATTTAATAACACTTTCTAGACTTAAGCAAGACTCAAATAGTACCAGAGGCAAAAGCCTCACTTCCCATATGCTGTGCTTTAGAATGTCCAAGAGGTGATCAGAATTTCACTGTTGCCCTCCTCATCCTGAAGGCAGTGTACCCATTCATGGAAAACTGAACAGAAATCAAACGGAGAAGACAAATAACAGATGCAGTTCTCCTAGGGGGACACAACTGGTTTGGAAATAAACCTGAGTCCCAGATTCTGACGTATTCCCTATAAAACATGAAGACTCCCATTAAGAACCAAGAAACCTAGAAAATTCACCTGCAGAACTAGCACCATATACAACAGGAGCATCAGACTAACAAGCCCAAATATGCCTACCAATTCAGTAAACTGTCATACAGCTAGAAAACCAGAATGAAACTATACAAAGACAAGAAATATCCCTTGCAATCTCCATCCTTGGAGACACTTGCAATCAGACTGGACACCTGGGCAACCTGCTCTGAGCGGGGATGGAGGTCAAGGCAGTGTATGAGGCACCTTCCAACCTCAGCCATGCTGTCATTCTGAGTTCTGGCTCTACCTATCTCCTGATTGCTGTATTTTGGCTCTGAAGATGTAAGAATGGAAATATGGAGCGTGGGGGGGTGTTTTTATCATAAGCTAACTTCTTCCTTCAGGACAGTAGGCTGAAACATCAGACTGCAAACACGCGTTAGCCCTTAGTGAAGATTTAGTGCTGGAATATATAACTAAACTAGCTATATAAAAAAGCATTTCTGCACCAATAAAAAAGCACTATTATCATTTATGGGTGTGATAAATAACATAACCCTTTGCGCTGTTGCTGTTTTAAAGGCTATGTCTTAAAAGCATTACAAAGAGGTAGCTCATTGCAAGAATATGCTGCTCCTCAGACCCAACAGAGTTGAATGAATCCTCTAAGAATGAACTGTTAGGGACTGGGGTATTTGCAGACTGTCACCTGTAGCAGAAGTCTCCAAGATTACCATTACAACCTTCCTTGCCAGTAGCTGTCAGCTTGCATTACAAGTCAACTGGCTGATACATTACCATGCTTAACTGTACGCTGCCATACCTGGTGTCACTGTCATTGTGGTGCAAAGCATAAGCGGGAAAAAAAGTGGTCCACCCCCTCAGTAACAGCACTGATTGTGCTGCCACCTAACAAGATGCAGTCTGACAACACAGAAGTATTTAAAAACTTTCAGGTTAGATGGAAAAAGAGAGAGACGAGAGGAGCTGTGACTGACATTTCCCCCAGTCAGACTTCAAGGCGACCAGAAATTACTGACTCTGCTGCATCATGCAGAACCTTATGACAAATTCTGCACCAATCTGTAGGTTCTGGTGTAGTTACAGCAAAACTAACAACAAATAAACAGTTTGTCCAACCTAGGAGGTCTAAATGAAGCTGAAGGAAATGTTTCTATCATCTCGGCAAGATAAGAGCTTCGGGTGCTCTGTGTGACACGGAGTGCACTGCAACCCCATGGCCTCTGCTCTACTGCTGCTTTATCCTCCATGCCCAACATGCATGACTCATTCTGAACAGGCCTGTTGAGTTCCTGCTACTTGATTATTTTTACACCATCCGTTAAGCAACACACACTCTACACCATAAAGTACCTTGTCCCTTCAGAAGTCAGTCCCCACCGCACCTCTCAAACTTACCTTTGATCACTGAAAGGAGCTAAACTTCCTATGTCCCTGCATGTTTTCTTGTCCTCCGCTTTTCAAATCATTCCAAATTCTTTGAAAGTTTCCTCTTTGAAGCCTGGAGTGCCATTAGTTTAGTTGTGGCCTCCAGTGCCATTTCCTGCACAACAACAGAGCTCCTCTCACCTTGGTTTTCATCTTTCAGGAGATGTTTCCCAGGACAGTCTGCCAAACCACAAGTGCTCCCCAAGTGCTTTGTTACTAAAATTACTGAAAACTAAACATAAATCCTGCATCCTGCTTTACAAAAATGCATGCTGTCTAAATGAATTCTAGTTCACTGGACAAACAGATTGCTGCTTCACAAGTCTTATAATTCACAACACAAAGCTGTGTTTATTCAGCAAGCTTTGCCAGCTGTGATTTAAATTCTAAAAGTTTTGACTGTAAGGCATCAGTCCCAAAACAGAGAAGTCCTCTTTTCAACATATTTACTGTTGACACTTCTCTTAGGAAACTGCATAAGTCTAACTTATTACAGTGTGATATGGATGTTCCAGACACCCGCACTTTAATCTTATGCAGCCTAAGTCAAAAGAAGAGGTCAAAAACAAACATATAAAAATAATGAAAGCTACAAAAAAAGTAAATTTAACTTTCTATTTGCCACCACTCACAGTACAAGCACAAGGATTTTCATCAGGTTGTTGATATACTGAAAAGTAGCAAATGCAAAACAACGGCTGCAGTGAACTAAGCACTGAACTTGAGAAAAGCAGTAACAAAGGAAACTTCAAAAAGTTTATGGCATCCAAATATTCACATACCAATTTGGGCAACAGAAACATTCTTAGCTACCTAAGTACACTAGCAGGGACAAATTTTATGTTGAACAGTGTAATTCCCAATGCTGTAGGCATAATGTTGCAGTGAGCAGACTAGCAGTTTTGCTGACTGGAGTTATTTCAGGATAAGTTACTACAGCAAAGGTATTCTAGAACAGAGAACTGCTTGGATCCGCTGCAGTACTTGAAACGACTCTACACATATTAATCATCATTTTTAAAGTGACCAATTCTTACCATAACATTCACAGTGTCAAGCATTAAGCACCCATGAACAAGATGCTTATCCTTTGTGCACATCTAGACCTGATTAAGTTTTGGATGCTCGAAACCTAACTTTGTGAACCCATTTCAAAAGGAAGAAAACACCCTAATTATTCCTCTTTCAAGCAGATCAATATCTGCAGCAAAAGAACTGACTGACAGCAGTAGAGACTGCTCTGAGGCTGCTGCTTTGTGATGCCTGCAGCACATCTATGCTCACATCCCATGCTGTCAGGAACATCATGTATTATTAGGCAGCAGGACAAAGGCTACCCTGGCAGGGCACACTTTTAGAAAAGAAAAATCAATTCCAGCATTCTAAAATATGCATCACTGGTAGAGTATGTTATTGAGCATTACAAATGGTTCTGCTGGTGACTCCATTGGTGTCAACTGCAAAAGTCCAGCTCTGGAGTCCCCAGTACAAGAAAGACAGGGAGCTGTTGGAAAGGGTCCAGAGGAGAGCCACAAAGATGATCAAGGGACTGGAACACCTCCCCTACAAAGACAGGCTGAGGGAGCTGGGCTTGGAGCTGAGGGAGAAAAGAAGGCTGTGGGTTGACCTCATTGCAGTCTTTCAGTACCTAAAGGGAGCCTAAAAACAGGAGGGGAATCAACTCTTTGAAAGGGTTGATAACTGCAGGACAAGGGGAAATGGTTTTAAGTTGAGGGAGGGAAGATTTAGGTTGGATGTCAGGGGGAAGTTCTTTACAGGGAGAGTGGTGAGGTGCTGGAACAGCTGCCCAGAGAGATTGTGGATGCCCCGTCCCTGGAGGTGTTCAAGGCCAGGTTGGATGGGGCCCTGGGCAGCCTGGTCTGGTATTAAATGGGGAGGTTGGATGCTCTGCATGTGGCAGGGGGGTTGGAGATTCATGATCCTTGAGGTCCCTTCCAACCCTGGCCATTCTGTGATTCTGTGATTCCATTGAAGGGAATGGAAGATCTAGCTGGGCAGAGAGAGAAAAAATGAAAATAACCTCTGTAGTATCATAATATTGTGTGGGGGAAAAAAAGAAAAAAAAAAAAAAAAAGCAAATAAATGTGATGCCACAGATGGTTCATGGCGAACACGGGATTAATGATAATATTTGTGTGTGTGCATGCATTATTGCAGTTATATGTGTGTGTGTGCAACATAGTTAAATGCAGCGGTACTAAATGCAAGCACACACCTTTCTTTCACATATGTCATGTGATGTCTGTGTATTTTGTTCAGTCATGGCTCAAAAGGCCGCTTCATCATCACCTGCCTAATGTCTGAAAGCACTTTCAAGCCTGCACAATTGTGATATCTGAGGTGAATCTTCCCTTTGTTCTCATTCTTTGCCTCACTGCCTCCTTGTCCTTCCACCCACCTACTGGAAGGATGGTTCACAGAGCAATAAAAGCAAACAACTCATGTCTACAGGTTCAAGTTTCCAGTTTAAGAAGAGTGTCAGCAAAGACAAGTTGAGTGGGCTGTGCCAAAAATAAAGTGTTTATAGCTAGATGCAGGGCTTTCTACATTTTTCTTCCCAAGGGTAACGTAGAGAAAAACCGATGGACGTGTCCTTGAATATTTGTTAAGAAGAAAAGGAATTCTTTATATTACCCTCCAGGCAACAACAAAGGAGGGCAGGGAAGAAAGAGGGAGACTGAAACAACCCTGTTACTGAAGCAACTCCCTTCAGTTATGACTTTCTGGAAAACTTTGACACTGTTGTGTCTCAGAGGAAACCTGGAACAACCAGCAATAAAAAACAGGGAAAAAACCCAAGCAACTGGCATTCACTGGCATTTCCATCCTACCTCTCCAATTTGTATTCTGTTTTCAATATCTGTACTGAATACTGTATCTCAGCACTTCAAATCTTATAGACAATTGAAAATAACAGCACATTTTGTTGCTCAAGAGATAATCAAGAAAGAATAACATCTTTTGTTTTTTACTGTGAGAGTGGTGAGGTGCTGGAGCAGGCTGCCCAGAGAGGCTGTGGATGCCCCATCTCTGGAGGTGTTCAAGGCCAGGTTGGGGCCCTGGGCAGCCTGGTCTAGCATTAAATGGGGAGGTTGGTGGCCCTGCATGTGGCAGGGGGGGTGGAAATTCATGATCCTTGAGGTCCCTTCTAATCCTGGCCATTCTGTGATTCTTTTACTTGGAGGGGGGTTGTGGGTTCAAAGAGGAGGAATAAACTACATCCCATCCAGCTGTGTATGACCAGGGAAAGCTCAGAGAGGCAGCTGATGAAAGTGACCACTGCTTACAGATGAGGACCAGAACAGACACAAGGAGAGATACTGCTATGTGACAATAACAGACAGTGCACAATGTTAGTTTTGTATAAATCAGTTCAAGCTTCAAAAAGTGGCAAACTACCCAGCAATATTTCCTACTGGTACTTCTACATGGACTTGTAAGCATAGGAAAGAATGATTAACTGATTAACACACTAAGTTTTAAGAATATGCTTAAGCTGTATGTGTATCAGACTCAAAAACAAGCCCAAGTTATGTCCTTCCCTTGCAAACGCAAATACCACCGACACACTAGAAACTTTCCTTCATTTCTTTCTTTAAACATGCCTTAAAAGGAAAGACACCAGGTTAGACAAGCCACTGGTCCAACACAGAAGGCACATCCAAGTGGACAAGGCAAGGCTGCAACCAGCAGCAAGGCTGCTATTACAAACTGCAGAGCAACTCTTCTGCCAGCTTAAGATTGTAGCTTCAAAAACCAGCTAGCCTACTCCAAGGTCAGAGACAGAAAAATCCATTTTTATTGTACTGACACAGAAACAAAGAGACTTTCCAGACTTTAAAGAACTTGGCTGAAAGGAAACTGCTTCTGCTTCCATTGCTTCAAGTGATCTGTGTTTTAAGCTAAAAAGAAAAACAGTAGTTGATTATGTTTTTCAAATCTATCCAGAAGTCAGACCACAAGTATAATGAGGTTTACTTCTGGAACAGTGGTACAAGAAAGCAGTATCGCAAAACTCAGTTAATTAAAAGGGTTATTTCTCACAGTGGTTACTTAGAAAGCTCTAGCATGATAGCTAGAATGAAATATCAGGAAACTACATCTTCTAGAAACACAGAAGTCCATAAATTAGAAAAGCAATAAAATTTGTTGGGTTTAATTCTCCTCAAAAGGGAGAATGCTTAAAGAGGCACAAAAAATGCAATTTTTGTTCTGTTTTTAGGATCACCTCGCCTTAAGTATAGTGTAGCTGTTAATATTTTCTAAGCCACTTCCCAGTATATGTCTGTTCTCTTAGGGACTGCACATCCATTGAGATGCAAATGCAAAATCACAAAGGTATTTGTTGGTAAGGAAAAGGATGCAAAGACATTTTTTTTTTAGGAAAGGACTCCAGAGGTGATCTAGCCTAAACTTCAGTCGAAGGAAGGCCTATTGCTAACATCACATCAAGTCAATACAGCAAGCAGTCGAGCAGCAAGCTCTACATTCACCTTGATGAAATCTAGAAAACTGTAGCTGGATTTCATCACTATTAAGTCTGTGTGTTCCTAAATTGTAGCTTGGAAGGGCTGTCAAATCTGGTAACAACAGGGTTTTTCTTGGTGGAAACTCATTTGCTTCTCCTACAACCCTTTCTCTTCAATGCACAGGAAACCAAGATAAATCCACTCTACATAAACTCTTTTATTCCTGTAAGAGTAAGTACTAATGATGAGAAATAATGCTTCTTGTCCAACACATGGTGCTACTTTCTGAGTTGGCCAGCACTAATGTAGTTTCTTGTTACATAAAAAATGGGACAGGATACACAAATCAAAATAGACAGACCGGCATGAAAGAGAGGAAATAAACATGGAAGAAGTAAGTAAAATCAAAACACGAAACAGTTGTTCTGGCAGAAGAAGTACTGTGTGTCACAGCTTCTCATCTGCTTTCTGACATTCATACGTGCAGGAAGGGAAAATGTTTCCTAGAACATGCTAACATAGTATGTCTACAGTGGGTTCAGTAAGAAACAAACCCTCATGGAAGGACTTATGAATTTCCATATCAGACTTCACTTTGAATTATGTTCTGGCTTTGCATGTTTGTCTGTTTTTTTTTATATTGATAAAGGTTCTTTTTATCTTCTTGATTTGCTTCTGCATGATTTACCTCAAAAAGCTAGAAAGAACCACTTTACTTCACAAACCTACGCTGAAAAAAAAGAAAACAAATTAAAAAGCAACAACCAACCACTTCATACCACAATGTACAACCATACAATCTCAATTCTGAACAAGTAATCTAGGGATTTGGGATTTAAAGATGCTCTGATCTTGTATTTGCATCCCATGCCGGGTGCATGTTTTTCATAGGTACTTGTTGCAATTGTTTTCACTTGTTTGGGCTATTTTTCTGTGGTTCACTAATATCCTTATGCAACACTTCTTTGCATCACAAAGTTCAAAATCAAGTCACTGTTCAATCCATTATTTCCACCATTTTATGTATTCATTTGCTTCATTTTTCCCTACGTCAAATATTATGTCCAACAGCAAACTTGGAGACCCAGCCTTTCATAAACACCGCTACGAAATGCAATCAATTTACTGCATTTACAGGCTTTTCCCCATAAAAATGATGTTTCTTTTCAAAAACAGACACAGTGTATTTGGGATACATCATTAAGAGAGAAATATCTGCAGTAACACAAATTTAGAGGAAGTTGCTAAACGCTACACTACCCATCACAGAATCACAAAATGCAGTGAACCCTCACTCAGGAGCAACCACCAGCTCTACGTGAGCATTAGCCACATCCTTCTCTTGCCCTGTGTCGGTGTAACCTCATTAAACCCACTACTTCCCTCATGTTTATCTTTAGCACATTGTTCTGATCATAGTTTCATCTTCTTTGAGCCACTTAAAAAGGCATTACACATCTAAGACCAGAGTAGGATCATTACATTACAGCTGCAAGAGCTATTCATGTATAATTCAATGATTCTTGGTCTGAATTAGCTTATTATTCATAGGATCTAGTCCAATGGCTTTTTTTTTTCTTCTTCAAGCACAAAGAGCTCAGCTGCACTCAGAAAAGTAATACTATAACTAAACACTAACAGAAACATTTAAAATGTTATCTTACCACGTATTGTGCATTCAGCCCTCAGCAACCATCCTGTTCACTTACAGGACATGTAGAAGTTACAGCATGGCACAGACCTGGATTGCTCAAACGTTAACAAGTGGACAAGCTGCACATCTATCCCTCAAATATTACACAAAACCAAACACAGAACTCCTTTCAAGCAGCTGATAGCAATGGCAGAGATTCTGAAGATTCTGCTAACTACACAACCAGCAAGAACTCAGGAGAAAACTGATTAGAAAACATGCAAATTTAAATACATAAACATACACTGGTGTTACACAATGCAGATTTCCCAAATTAAGCCTACTGAATCTGACCAGAACAATATTTTAAGTTCTGTACGTATAGAGACAGCTCAAGCAGGCATTATGAGATGAAACAGAGCCTCAAGGCTATGCAGTAGGAATAATTTAAGTATTACTCCACACAGTGCTCAACTGCAGCCTCAGGAAAGTTTTCTCTTAAACTAGTAAGAGAAATTTTATTCTCCAGTAAAACCCACTTCAGAATAAAACCTGGCATCTGTATGACTGTGCTGGAGTGGGATTACTTTTTATGTTAAATTCAGAAGTATTAGCTTTCTGTTCACTTAATTTGTAAGTTCTTACACAGAGTTAATTTTACCCTCATCTTTTATTTATTATTTCAAGCTTAAGTATTGACGAGACAAACATCATCTTTCTTTCAAATAAATAAATGAATAAACTCCTTACCTCAGGGCCAGCCTTTGCAACCTGACTAACCCAGTCTCAGGGGGACTACAGATATAGAGAAGCTGAAGATTCACACCTCAAGAATTAGGCTGCAGTGCGGTTTAATGGATTTTGAGAAGGCAGGCTCAAGTCTGAAAAATCCCTGTGGATAAGCCTTTATACACTGACCTCAATAATTACCTTTGCTAGTCATCATTATCGTTAAGTAGGCTTGTCAACAACAGACACTACACTCTACCTAGGAAATAATAGAAAGACTGCAGCAAAACATCAGATGGGAATACAGTCCAGCCTAGGCACGACAGTTTTACAATGGTTTTATCCAAGAACTGCAAACAATTGGAAAGGTATTTATCAATTTCGTTAGTTATCAGCCATCAAACAAAAAACCTTGCATATTATGATACAAAAATCTCTCTTTTGCACACGTGTGCACACATAAAAAATCTTATATATATATTTATTATATTACCTACACTTCTGTCATTATCAATAGCATTTTTGTGTTTAACCAATATTACCCAAAATCATTGCAGACTTTTTTTTTTTCAGACAAACACCCCACATAATTTTAGCAGTTAGGACAGATTAACCCTGAAATAACAACACGAAGAATCCCTTTGAAGATATTATCTTGGATCTGTCAAATTTAGTTTTCAAAATTCTCACTGAACCTCAAATTTGTGCAGCGTTCAAGCCTCAGTGAGAGTCTTAGAATGGAGGCTGTTCCTCCAAATTACACTACATGTGGACAGACAAAGAAAAATCAAACTGGCGTGAGATGGTTGTCATTTCCTTAACACTGCAGGAAAGTGTCTGTTTCATCTGTTTCATCAGGACTTTCTTACTCATCTAGAATTTGAACAAACGTGCTCCTTTGGAACAGACGTGGTTTACACATTCAGCCCTCCTTCACACACGCAGCTCCAAGTCATCCGCATTTTCCAATCTCATAAAAACTGCAATAAATCACTTTCAGACAATTTGCAGAAAGCTACTGATTCTGATAGAAACGAAACAAAAATAAAGAAGAAGAAGAAAGGTATTGGTGCAGTCAGTTCAACATCTGACATTCAGCAGCATGCAGCTAACCTTTGTGTTTCCCTTTTTTCTCCTTTCTGGCACTGCCAGTCTGACAGCTTGCAGATGCTGCCTTGGCTTTTTTAGTTGATTTCGGAGCTTGGGCATCCACTGCCACCTTTACATCTTCCTGTTCGGCCTCCTGTACTGCTTGAGAGATTCAGGGTACCCCATGAAAAAGAAAAAGAGAGAGAAACAAGAGAGAAACAAATTGAGAGAGAGAAGAGAGAATGTATTGAGAATTCTGAGAAGGCATAAAGATGTGAGCAGGCATAGCAGAATTTGGTATTTCAGATAATTCATGCAAAGAGGAGATTCAAATAAATGAGAAATTGCAAAGTTACAGTAAAAAATTGGAAGCGTTAAGTTAACGGGGATGTAGTTCTTAACCTTTTCCCTCTTTCCAATAACATGCTAGCTGCTAGCTTTCAGGCCAAAAATAACATCATAACATTAATGTGCTGCTGAGCTATTGTAGGAAGCCCATTTCCTCATCTTAAAGTCTGCCAGACCGATCACAAACAGCAGCAGCATAAAGGCAGAAGAGCTTCATTTAGACTTTGTAGTGTCTATGTTTAAAACTATAACCTAAAACCATAAACAAGGAACCACTGGTTTTCTTCTCAGAGAAACACATCTTGTGCAACTGTCAGCACCACAGTATGATGAGAAGGACAGCCAGGCACTTTATGGAGAAACTATAGACAAAGCAGAAATTACAGACTCCCCCCAGCTTGTACCATACAAATTAATTTTTTGAAGTCTCAGCATATTATGCGTGGCACGAACTATGAATGTCAGCATAATTCACATACTGCTAGATGCTTTCAAAGTAAAAAGAGGCTTTATCACTTTCTACAAGCATGACACGCTTTGAGGTCAATATTTCAACCGTGCAAAGCAACACACGCAGTAACTCCTCCTTTTGGCCAGGCCAAGCCATGAATTCAAGCAATCTTGGTAAGGTAGAGAGGTATAAAAACAATCATCTTTGTGAAATACATAAAGACATCATCAAACTTCACATCCCAAGCAAAATAACCTATAGGTGGGCACTAAAAAATGTTGGCACCAGTTGCTGGTTGCTGTTAATTGCTAAGCCCCCAGCTTTATGAGGGGACTGATTTATCCCACAGGAATATCTCCACGGCTCTCAGGGCCTCCCACCATTTCTTACTCCCAAAACTGAATTGTTCTCTTCAAAATAAACGAACGAATAAAAAAACCTCAAAGGAATCTAACTGGAACAAACTGGCCACCTATAAATCTAGGTAAAAACATATCTGGCACACTTCCTAAGGCCCCAGAAGGGCTAGTGATGACACGTGGACAGCCAGTTGTCCCTTTGAAAAGCGAAATTCTCCCCAAGTTTCTGGTCTCTGAAGCAACTTTTCTGTTCACCAAATCCTCCATGCACACAAAGAGCAACAGAAGCAAACACCAAAGAGATTCCCAGAGGAGTAAGATGGAGTCAGCCTGTGTGAATGCACCTTACAACCCCAGAGCTGCTCTCCTCAGAGCAGCAATCCAGTCTGAAGAGCATTATGTTCACTGCACAAGGAGCATCTGGAGCACTCACTAACACACACTCCCTTTTCATCAAGAGCCCAAGTTTTACAGAGTATGTAGGTGAAATAGGCAGAGGTGTGAGTGATTAATAGCTCAAATGAACAGCTTGGCATTGCCCAGTTCCTCACTCCTTTTATCAAACAAATCCCAAGACTGCAGTCTCCTTGCTGAGCATCACAGAGCACTACAGAAATTAAGAAGACAGAACTGGAGAGTGAGCGCACAGCATGTCAAGGAAAGTGGCACATACACAGCAGCATGGCATCCTATTTCCACAGGCATGGCAGCCTTGGACTAAGCAGGGAACCAAAGTGTCCCTGCTGCACGGTCTTTAAATAGGCAGGATTGGTCAGCCCAGCAATCTGTCCTGTACTTGTAACTCAGTCGATCTATAAAAATGAGGGTATGTTCTTTCCATTGTTTTAAAGATGATAATCCTCCTTTTAATTGAACTCCGTTATTTTATAAATGACCGACATTCAATGACCAATCAGTTCCCTTTTAAATATGACCACATTCATTCTTTCAGATGAAGTATCATCTACTTGGCCCGAGGCAATGATTAATAAGCAAGGGATGAAATGTTCTGATATTGTACATTGAAAAGTTAAAGACTTATCCTCACTGTCTGCTCAGCTGTTCTTTGATTAAACAAGAAAAAGCCCAAAGCTTTTTGAATTCATTTTGTCCCATAACTTCCAGTGATGGGTGCTTCAAAGGCCAGAGAAGAAAATACCTCCACTACTTTCATCTATAATGCAAAATTTCCAAGCGACAGCCATTTTGAACTTACTCCATCACTGCTGTATATGGTAAACAGAACTTTCAAACATATGTGATAGAGGATGAAAAATAAAACTTGAACCATAAATGTGCCAGTATTACAGATGGGTTTGTAAAAGGAGTTTGCACAGAATCTCGTAATTCTAAGGGAACTTTTAATGACCTGCAATATTACATTTAAAGCACTAGTTCTAAACTAAATTCAAATCAAATCCTAAAATATCATCTTCATCACAAAACCCCACCACATTATTCTTAGCTACTGATTACCTAGAGAACAGCAGACTTTTACTAAGGCTCATCCACTTGATAATGTTTTCTCTGGCCTCCTTGCATAATAGAAACTGCTATAATGATATGATTATGTGCTCAGTTGGATGCTAAAAAGTTAAATGATAAACAATGATACCTGTAGCACAGGACAAATAAAGACTCTTACATGCAGCTACAGGGATGAAGTTTCAACGAATGACACTCAAAAATGCATTCACTTCAATTAAAAAAGAAGACCAGTTAACTTCAAAAATCCCACTTCTCTTCAGTAAGGTCTTACCTTCAGTAAGGTGACTACGCACAAAAATACAGTCCAATATCTCATATTTCCAGCTCTAAATTATTAAAATTTTAATTAAAAAAATTAAAGATGATTTTTCCTTTCCAATTAGATTTGCATGTATTGGAATTTTCATTTAGACAAGACACAAATGTGAGCAGGATGTCTTACATTGGGTAGGGCTACAACTCATAACCAATGGGAAGGATGCAACTTCTGCATTATTGAATAATCTGTGATGCAGACAACAAGGAATTTTTAAAAAATAGTGAAAACCAGTTATCTGCAGATACTCAAGTGAACGACAATGAAAGGCATGTTATTTCTGTCTGGCCTTCATGACTGTAAGTTCACACAGGAAATTCAATTCGAAGTCCCTCATGTTCTTAAATGAAAAAAGGGAAACTGTAACATAACATACCAAACCTTCTCACATAACAATGCCATGTGATAGGAGAAAAAATATTTTTGATCAGTATATTGTGTGAAGAATGAAGAAAGTAAAAAACTACATAGGCACACAAAGAAATGGACAGATTAAAAACTCTCAAAGTAGTGGAGAGAACACCTCATGTAGAAAGATGGATAAATGATGTGATGCAAACCACTAGCTCAACTCTATAAAGCTATTCACTCTATTTATCACAGTATCGATTTGTTCTCTCACGGTAAAAGTGAAATCCAGAAAGATTACCATGCAATGAAAGCTAAACTACAGTTCAGTCAAGGGTGTATCTCAACAAATTGGGGCAAATCAGTTGTGCTTTTCCTGGTGTTGACTGAATTGTTCTTGTGTTTCACAACAAAAACAGCTCACTGCTTTGCTCTGTAACGTATTAATCTTAGTGAATAGTTATTTTGGCTTCTTTTTTTTTTTTTTGTCAACTTAAGATTATGAACTGACCTAGCACTTTTATCATCCTAAAACAGATAATAGGTTCCATAAAAATATCCAGAAGAAAGGCAAAACCACCTTTTTTGTAGAACAAAATATTTTTTGTACAAAAAGCCTACAAAAAAAGAATGTAAGGAAGAAAAAAAGTTGTTACGTGCAAGGGGCTGGATTAGGGCAAAGATGCTGGCATGTAAGGTAATATTTAGTCACGATTAGTTGATGTTCACATTAAAATGCTTATAATCAAAGGCACTGTCCCTGCAACTAGCAACTTACACACAGATTCCAGGCTCCCAAAAAATTATGCTGCCTGTAAAATCACTTGTGGCTCTGCAGCTTCTGCCCCTAATACTGGTGCATTACCAGGATGATTTTACAAAGGTGAAAATATTTGTTAATTGAAGCTCAATGTGAAAGGGCTGACAAAAAGAACAAGGGTACATGAGGACTTGTTGGTGCTTGAGGGACCCCAGTTCTTTCCTTGCTGCATCTGGGACTGCAGAGGATGCTGTTGGCAGCAGCCAGCTCTGCCTGCTGCATTCAGAGCCTGTGGGATGGGTTCCCATTTGTGAGGGCACTGCTGGTGCTGGGCTCACTTTCACAAGCAGACTCCTTGTTCCTTTGGGAGCTGCTGGCTGCTGCTGCTTCCCAACATCAAATTGCAACAAGGAAATGTATTTCAAGTAGAAAGAGAAGGGCGCTTTTCAAGAAGTTTCCCTCAGCTGCCTCGAAACCTCAAAACTTCTAGTACCAAGAAACACAAAGACACCTCTAAATGACTTGCTACCTGCTGTTCTCTGCAGCTACAGGGTTGGTTCATCTATTTTGGGAATGTACTAGAATGGTAATGACTGATAATAAATCAAGAAGATGCCTTAAAGGATGAAGGGTAAAGAGACTGCGGCTGTAAGGGAGATTTCAGAATATATGCTTATTGGAAGTTAGGTGTTTTGCCCACATGATACTTGGAGTGCTGCCGGATCTCTCAATATTAATAGTCTTGTCCATAGAACATTCCTGGCTGCCTTCAAATAAATAAACTAACACCTCATTTCAAGGTTAGTGAAATACAAGGATGCAACACACAGTTCTGATGAATGCTTAAATACGGTTTTTTTGTTTGTTTGTTTGCCTTTTGTTTTAAATGGTTAATTGACATTCTCTTATATGTTGACAGCTTGGTACTCATCACCTGTCTCTCACCCTCTATGACAGAAGGGCAGAATGTCATGTCAAACTTAGCAGTCCAAACCTATGCCTTTTACCTGAAACCTGCTGTTCAACACAATACAGGACCATTTTTCTAGATGCGCTGGCGAATGTCAAAAATGGAAAACAAGGAAGCAACTTTGCTTTTTAGCACATGGTTAATCATAATCTCTAAACTGAACGTTGACATGAAAATTGTTCAGAGAGTTTCTAATGGAAAACAATTTTAATTCCAAGTCTTTAAAAAAAAAAAGCCCCAGCTGCAACAAAATATGGTAATATTAATGAAAGCATATCTGGTATGCATTCAAATCTCTGCCTTCCTCACTGCTGCGAAAAGAAAAATCTCTCCCTGGTGGAAATTCACCATTTCCATAGATATAAAATTACTCTTCCCTGTAAAAATGGGTTTTCATCATTTGCATGAAATGTGATTTAATAGTGTAATTAAATTGTTGCAGTAAGCAGTGTATCTCTGCATGTTACTTGATTTGTATATACATTTGCAATCCAGACTGAGAAAAGCTGCAGTCATAGCAGAATTTTGCAGTGCCATATGAGGCTAAAATGTTTGTTCAAGTTTTGAACAAGCACTTCAAAATAAGGGGTGTAGAGATCCATGACAACAAACAAGTAGATGTGACTGCAAGGCGTTACAGAATGGCAAGCTGCACTTAATAAAAACTTTAAACAAGCAGGCAGCAATATGCTTTCTGAAGGACACTGAACTGAAAATAAACAAGGTCACAAGAAAGAGAAGGTAATGAAGGATTAAGCTTATCCCACTGAATAAAAGATTGTCATCTTCTATATACAATCTATGCTTAATTTCAACACATGTTCCTATTCAGCTATTTTTAATGATGAAGTAATGAAGTTGTATTTAGTACTACAAGAAAAACAGGCTTTCTAATAAACTGGAGCGAAACATCATGGAAATTAATGGAAGGAGACTTACTGCTTGAAATGGCAGGCAGATCATCTAGGATCTAACCTACAGGAGTGACCCCAAAATAATATCAATACATTCATTTCAGTGCCAAGGAAAAGACTACTATGCTCATTTTATACGCATAATTCCTGCTCCCTCCACACAGTCAGCTTTGTCCTGGACTTAATCTAGAAATACTGCCATTAAAGTACTTCTCCTGCTAGTATGCCTAAATTTGCTCAGGGACATGATTTAGCAGAAGTTTGTTAGAGTAGTATGGTTAGGTTGTGGTTGGACTCAATGATATTTAAGGTCTTTTCCAACCTGAGTGATTTTATGATTCTATGATTCCTAGGGGCAAAGATTATAAAACAAGAGATTCTGTTCCCATAAAATATATCTCTGCAACCTCTTCCAAATAATGAAAACAATTTCTAGTCCTACTTGATCCACAGATGCTGGCTGGCAAGTAGTGGGAACTGTAGCAAACTGGCTCGTAACCCAGCTCAGACTAACTGGATTAACTCCACTCATGGACCTTTTGGATTTATTTGATCTCAGGTTGGCCTGTTCAATCAAATTCATCTCAGTCCTAGCAGATAACTCAAATAATTTTGCTGTTATTAGTTAATAAGCCAGTATGACAGTAACCAGAAGGTTTTAGAGGGACATACTTCAACGTGGAAGTTATTTATCTGAAAATTCATACCTAATGGCAAAGGGTGCTTATACAGAAAGAAATCAGCTTAAGTAGTAAAATATGTAGTTCCATGCTATCTACCTACAAAGAGCTTCCCAGGCCAATGTTTTCTTCCAGAATAAAAATGATCTTGACTTTTTTTCACTCTACTCTCTGACAGTTATTCTGGAATGAAATCAGTTTTTATTCCAGAATAGAGTTGCCCATCAGTGAACCACTGCAGCAAAGATAACTGCAACACAGTGAGCTATAGCAGTGTTTGAAAGAGAATTTCTCAGTGCAGAAAGCCTAACATTTCAGCAATTCTGAGATGTTATCTCTGACCTACTTTGAGCAAAGTACCACAGAGATACCTCCAAATAGGCATCCAACTATTTTTCGAAATCAACCACTGCTTCTGTGCTGCATAGAATTAATACAAGGAAAGAAGAGCAGAGGAGGATGGTAGGTGTAAAGTGTTCCTTTTGCAGCATTTGCTGTACAGGAATTGACTTAACAAACGTGTTCATCCGAGCAATGTAGTTCATTCAGCAGACCTTCAACTCCCATCAAAGACTCATTCTTAACTAAAAATCTGCATGCCTAGAGCAGAAACAAATGAACGGAAAAGAGCAGAATAGTTCTTTAGAAACAGCCCAGCTGTCTCATGCATCCGACACTCCCACATACAAATGTATTCATTGAAGGGGAAAAAAAAAAAGCACCAACCCTGAAGTTGAATACTGTAGTTAAAACCGGTCATCAGAACCTAATGATGTGTCGTGCAAACACTAAGAACGTTCCCAAAGAAGACCACAACAAAAAAGGATGCTTTCAGATTTCTTGTAATATTTTCAAGAGTAATGTTCCCAACAAATGATTTTATAAGGCAATAAGGCACTGTACTAAGTAACTAAATTCTCCTAAGTCGGCTTTTGCTAACGGCATGGCTTATTACAAAGACAGCTGACCCTCAAAGACTAACAAACTCTTAGGATGAATATGAGAAACATTATCTTTTGCTCCTCTGAGACCTTGTTAAATATTGAAAGGGTTTGAGAGAAAAATCAGGAGATTTAAGGAGAAGAGATTAGTAAATATTCCAGTAAATGGTACAGTACAGCATAACAGGAAGGGTCACTCTTTACCTTAAGAGCACAGTTAATCTCACTTAAGTCAGAAAGTCCACTATGGTGCAAACTGTTGCAAAATTTACTTCAATTAACATAGATAATATGCTACCTTTTATAGGATTATAATGCCTGTTTTTCTGAGCTTTTTTCTGAGCTACTGATTCTACCTACAGTACAAAAAGTTCAGTGTATAATGGCACCTGATGAGCAAGGAGAAGAAATATGTTCTCCGTGTTTAAAAAACATAAAAAACCTAAAACTAAAAAAGTGCCCATCATTTGTAAACCTACACTTCTCACAGTATGATCTGTTAGTCCAGCAAATGTCTGCTACAACCCTGCTAAAAGGTGTGGCCACTAGCTGAAAATGACATTACGCAACAGACAAAAAGTAGAGCACACGCAGTGCACTTGAGAGACATCTGAAAGGACTGACAGTTATGCTTTTGTTTGTTCTAAAACTAAGATACTGCTTTGGCCTTTTTTGTTCAGGTGTAGATTCACTAAAACATCTTAGGCTTCGGTTTTTCAGACATTGAACCCTAACTACTCTGCCACCTAATAGAATTCTCAATCTGAAAACATCCATTGCTCTCCCAGTACCCTTCTATTTCAGCTCATGTCCCACACACTCATCAACACTAACAGAAGAAAACCTTTGGCTATGGAGTTGAATCAAATTCAACATATGCAGAGCAAGAGAGACTGAAGATCACTGTTCTTTATACCTCTTGGATGTACTATCAGCCTGGAACGAGATCTATAAGAGACACAACATTGAACATGTGCAACCCAAGCTTTTCTCTAGGATAACCTGGGGAAAAGTACACACCTAAGCATCATCAGGGGCAACTAGCATGGGCCACCCGAATACAGAACTAAATAACGACTGGTTTCCTGAGGATTTATTGCTGATGACAATTCTCTGAACAGTACAGAAATGGCTTTACAGTTTTTCACCTGAAGTGTCTCTGTCCATTTTGGAATTTGTAATTTTTAATAAGAAACTGCAGACCACAGTTTACAACTTTTGGATATTCTTCTCTACCTACTCGCCTACTTTAATGAAACTTGCAGAAATGTGGTATCTTTGAGGTCGTGATATACAAACTTAGTTGAAATTAGTTAAGAAGTTTCAAATTTATCATTAACACTGACAAGATCCATAGACTAGTACAGTATGAGCTTTACTTCAGAGGAAGCAAAGGCTGATGACACTTTAATATTGCCAACTGATCTGAACTGGTAGCTAGTTCCCTTCCTCTGTTCCCTATTCTTCCATGGCCCAGTGGCTCTTACTCCCAAACAAGTGAAGGTTATCGATTATTCACTAGAAAATAACACCTTTCTTCTCACAGCATGAACTTAGCACTGTCAGCATCATACTACAACTTGCAGTAAACATGCATGCAATAGACCACATTCGTATACCATGGTATATGGTGCTGCTGTTGCTGTTAAGATACGATTCAACCAATGGTGCTTGTTCCTCCGAATGTTTCGTTCTACGCGCTCTTGTGCGACTGTCCACATTGGACTGAACCATTAACGGCTCCTGGCGCTTTTTTTTCTGCTTCTGCTCTAGCAATGCTCGCTGAGGAAAATACAAAGAAAATCAGGTTACTGGACTCCAAACAATAGCAATCTTCGATGAAAAACAATAGATCATCTTCAGGTCTTCTAAGTTTTCTAGTGGTGGGAATTGGCAAGTAGGATCTTGGGTTATTTTGGGTAATAGGAAATCTTTCGGGGAAAAAAAAAAACCACCAACCCACTGCTAAAACACCTTCTGCTGAAAACAGCAAACAATTAAAATAGATCTTTCTGAGCACTCTATCAGCTGTCAGAGCTTACTTGGAAATAACCTTTGGAAAAACAACAGTGAGAGAAGCTGTGAAGCAATGGGAGGGTAAGCAAGGGCATGAGACACAGAGATGCCAATTTAAATTTCCATAAATCAAAAGCAGATCATTTGCAAATTAGAAACAAATGATAATGCTGGACGTAAGCTTAATCTAATTATACAAGACAAACTTTAATTAAACATTTGAATTTCTCAGCTACACCTGCAGAAAATCAAAGCAATACTGATGGAATGCAAGGAATTATCCTGGCAGTCTTGCAAATTTCTTCTCCCAGCTGCTTTGTGCAGTTTCCATTGATACCTCTCTGTTTGACACATCTTCCACAGTCTCAGAGAACAGAAATGTTTATTTTAATTATCCATTTCTTTACCACCCCTGTGCTGATGTACAGTGATATCTTTTTTGGATATGCTTTTAAAAGCATATCCATATGGACATGCTAGAAATTAAGAACAAGAATGGAGACTGGAGCCTTACAGCTCCTTAAGCTGTCTGTAACGTTCCAATATAACTTCAGAATGGTCAGCATAACAATAAGCAGAAAGTTTTCTCATTTTCTCACTTGAAAATGAAATGCTAGTAGACATGCAAACAAAAACAAAAAACAAAAAGATGGGAGAAGAAATGGATGTAACAATAAAAATTAAACTTACAAGGTTTAATTATAAACACAAAGGTTTATGGAAGAGGCATCACACACACAAAAAAGGTGAAATGGAAACCTCAAACCCCATTAAAATTTAACAGCAAAATTTCCTGAGATTTCATTAGAGAGATTCTGAATCATTTTCTATGAATCATGCAGGATAACAGTAGCAAAACAGATAACATAGAACATAATGCCACTGGTTTGTAGCCACAAGGTTAAATACATGGAACGAAAAGGAAAAGATGTAAAAACTCCGTGGTAAATCTCTGCTGGCCAACAACTTTGCAAAAACTTCTTGTCCTTTTCAGTCCACTAATGTGATAAACACATTGTAAGCAAACTTAAAATGAGTTCAGGGCAGTAGAGATGTTAATCTCATAAGAAAAATTTCAGTAGAAGTTAGAATTTTACATAAGCTGTGACCTCCACAGACTTCTCATTTGCATTCCCTAATCAGAGATGCAATTTTCTTGCATGATATATTTACCAATTACCAGACATGCGTGTTGCAGATTTCACTGCTCCAAGATCTAGACTTCAGAAGGCAATAAGATACTCCTCCAAATCTTACCTGTCTGTCAAGCTTCTGCTGACGCAGGTTGCTCCCCTCATCATCCAGAACACTGTAAAGACAAGTACATAATTAGAACAGATTTATCACTCAAAATAAACACCAAACAGCAATCACTGAAGCCAAGTGCCACAAAAGCTACTTATGTAAAACTTCCACTGTGCTCCATGGAAGTTTGCCTGTCTCAACTCGCAAAAGCCGGCTTAAGAGAGTTTAAATGCAGTCTGTGAAAGACTGGAAAACTCTGGTTCACATAAATTTTAATAAAAAGTTTATATCAACCAGATCACAAAGAAATGCAAACTCTATGGTCTACAGCTTGTTTTCTTCTCCACCATCTTCTAATGAAAATATCAATGTAAACAGCAATGGGATTTGACTGAAAATTTGCATGTAAGTCATATGCAAAGTAATGAGCGTTAGGAACTCAGCAGTATTTAAAATCATCTTAGAAAAATTAACCATCCAGACTTTGCAAACTGAACACCAGAATTTATTTCCGAATACCTGAAGTCACACTTATTGACATGCTGTTCAATCCTTAGAGACTGGCAAGACAAACAGCATGGTGCCACTGATGTATTTCTTTCTGCTAATTGTTAGTAGCTGGGAGATTAGCTCCAGCACTTTCAATTGTTTTCATTAATTAGATGTTAAAGCTAATGGTATTGCAATCAGAAAACTATTCTTATGAGGTATTTTATCAAATGACTGACTATACTTCTTTTCTAGAGAATAAAGGTCTCCATTGTAAGAACATTATGGTTAAACTTTGAATGCAGATCATTAAGTCTTTTAAATTGTAATATATCACCTACAAGGAATACTCTGTTACAGAAATAGCCTCTTACAAGCAGAATCCATTTCCTCTTACAGCACTTAAAAAAAAATAATAAAGAGATTAGCTCCATTTCTATGATCACTCTTAACTATTAAGAGATAAAAAGGATTCCAGGACAAATGAACCTGCATTCTGACATATGTAAAGCCAAATTATATTACAATGGAAATAAAGGGGACTTCCCATGCATTAATACATACTCCTTAGGAGAAAAATCAACCTAGCAGTAGAGCTTAAAAAGACATACAGATGGTCATCTTACCAACACCAGCTTCATCAAGATCTGCAATTAAGTACTACTGGTAGTATCAGCCTTTAAAATTTACACAATTCTTAATTCTTACCAAGACTGGCATTCCAAGAACTGAAACTATGCTGTACAATAACCTGAGGAAGGAAATAATGCAGTCTCTTGTAGACACAATGCATTATTCATAATTAAAAAAAAAAAAAAAAAAGAAATTCTTCTGCTTTATACCAAGCATTCTTAATTAGATAAATTACAGAAACAAGTTACAAGAAGGCACATATTCCTCTACGGTACACAGTATCTGCTTATCCAGAGGTGTTTTAGTACAACCACAATACATATTGGCTGCACTAATACCCAGTGAGATACCTTCGAACTAACAGTTGAGTAAAAGATACCAAGAAGAAACTTTTGGGCTTAATGGACTGAACAAATCCTTCTCATTTAAGATAATGCTAGAGAAAAAGACAAAAACATGTAATGATGATAGCACAGATCCTAAGAACTGCAGAGGCAGCAATGCATGTGCAGCTGTAATAGAGAGTTCAAGAGCCAATATTGCTCCACTTCACCAGTCATTTGCAGAGCTAAGGAGAAAACTCTGATCTCTTCTTTCATATTCTGCTTTATAAAGCAGACTGTGCTGACGCCCTCAGATTTGTTAAATGAGATATTTATACACTTCTCAGACATTCCATAAAGCATCAGTTCAGTAGTCATCTTTACGTGCATATAATGGTTTCGGTACTATGCTGGATCAGCTTTAATTCCAAATTCTCTATCACAGACAAGGTGTATGGGCACTCAGGATGTCTGTAGCTTCCTCTGCTTTCCTATATCATATCCTGATGTACCACACTGTGTAGAACAAGGGAGAAGGGAAATCTCCTCAGACTTGCTTTAAGCCTCACCTGGGTCTCCCTGGGAAGCCACAAGCTGACCTCAGGGGTCCAACTAAACAAGCACAGCTCCACAGGTCTTCTTACTCACAGCTTAACTTAAACACAGGTGTTTAAGTAGCACCACAGCAAACATCAGGCAGAGGAAGAGTGTGATTTGCATTGATTCAGTATTCCAGGAAAACAAAGCAACTGTATCAGACATGCTGAAGGACTACCAAGAAACAAATCTCCATCTAAAAGCTGTGGATGCCATAACATGAAAACACCCTTCCATATTGCCCTTTTACTGCAAGACATTGGTAAGTGAATAAGTATAATCAAAGCTGACAGCAAGAGCATCATGCCTTGATACCCACCTGCAAATGCCTTCTGCAGCTTCCAAGTCTTTCTTTCTGTGACTTTGTATTTTATCAAGTTCTGGGTCGTTTCCCACAATCCTTTTGTAAATGTGCACTTGCCCTTGCTGCAGTATCTAGGCTGCAATGCTCAACACTAAAACTGAACTCCAGCTTTCTTCACAGACACCAAGGTTCAGCAGAATACAGTTCATCAATTCTCTCACCTTTCAGATGGACGGAATTGTATTAGAATGCTTTACTGCCATCAGACAGCCACACCACTCTTCTGAGTCCATCACAGTGTAGTCAGGGCCTTAAAAGTAATCCAATTACCACCAGTTATATTTTAACAATTACCAATGCCACAACCACTGAAAAGCTGTGACTTTGTCCTTTCTTGATGCTCATGCAAGCCTAGAGAAGAAAAGGATCCAATGTAGCCTGTATATTCTTCTGATATAATAGCAAAATGCTCTGGTCTGAGACCATACTCTTTGCTGTTAGTTTCTATGAGACCTTGGAACTGTTGATTAACAGCCAGTAATTCACATACCCTGAATTTCAATGGAAGAACTCTCCTCAGACTGGGTGACTTCCAAGATTTACCATAAAGAAACATTAGGCTTTGGTAAAAAATAAATAACTAAATAAACAAAAGATTTGTTTCTGGAGCAATGCCATCAAGCCCTCACTTTTGCTGCCTTAAAAAGAACTGCAGCAGACCCTGAGATGCAAATGTGTCTGCATCTGGTACTCCTTGCACTCTGGTGGGTATTTCAGACTCCAAGAGCTGAAATACAGCAGATTTGCCCTTTCATTTCTTTGGAATAGATGAAAGTCTAGGAGTAGCAGCAGAGTCTTTACCCTTCCTGAAAAGAGCAGAAACCAATTGCTTTTTCCCTTGGAAGAAGGGAAGAGAAACAGTACTTCTGTAGCATAAGCTGTGTGCAAGGAGACCCAGACCATCTTACATAAATTCAGAAGCAGCAAAGATTTTGTTGTTCCATAGTCAAAATAAGTGACATGGACACAGACTGAAGTCCCAGAACAGTAGGAAAACCAAAGCTGTAACATGGCAGGATCACTACAGGAAATAATCTCGTAGAGAATGAGGCTGTTAGAACAATTCTGCCTACATGCGTGGTGAGATGCTAGAAAATCCCAGTAGCAGCATGAAACTCAGTCAGTCTTAATAAGGAAATATACTTTATAGCTCATGAAAATTAAATTACTGAAGAGAATACATACATGTGAGCAATTTGTGCTGAAGCATCCTGAAGATCCAGCAAGCTGCACTTTCCCTTCTATTTGACCAATTATCATGTATTCACCTAGCAACTTGGCCATGGCTTAAACAACATTTGTAAGGAAGAGCGATTTTACACTGTGTATTATATTAAAAACAGTATTCCAGGTTTGCAGCAATACATTCTATTCCAAATTCAGTTAACAAATCATAGCTTGTATATATTTCCTTGTAGATAACGATTCAGAGAAGACTCATCCATCTATATTCAAACTCAAGCAACTTACCCTTGAGAACTTACTGGATGTTGGGCTTAAGAAGTTTGCAAGACTACAGCTATATATTATAGAGATTCAAGTTGAAAGTGTGGTCCAAGATCCATAAAACAGATAGCAATATTTTCAAATTTTGTACATGGCATTTGATTCAAACATCCCCCATCCTGTTTTCTAAAGGGAACTATAAATGAAATATCACCTTGTCAAAGCATTACTTTTTAACACACTTTTTAAACCAAAATCTATTTTACTGAGACAGTTACAACATAAAATTCAATTTACACAAAAATAAACAGGCTTCCTAAAGCACTGCGTATCATAACAAAGACAAAAATGTAAGAACTTAGTTTATCTTAGTATCCCAAGCTCTTCATAATCTGTTTTCCTTAAAAATCTTTTGGAAAGAAACTCCAGAAGTTTTAAGGACAAAAGCTTACCATTAAGCTTTTAAACCATTTAAACCATTATATGAAGCTCCTCAATTTGCTTGCTATATTTTCCTTTAACTTCACATTGCTTGATTTCAATTTAAATAAAATAGGGAAAGCCTTAATCCAAATACATTTAACAGAGAGCGACTCAACTTCTTTCACTGAATGTGCAAACTGCTCACATTTCAGTAAGCCACTGCAAGCAAAAAGAACAAACAAGAGATGTTTTTAATTAAAATCTGCAGGATGTATGTAGTCATTAATTTATTTACTTCTTTTTTTAGAAGAAGTCTGACACTGTAAAGCAGATGTTGCTTTTGCCAAAGGAAGCAATGTTTTCTTTCTTCCTGACGCTGCCTTACAGAGAAGGATTTTCCAAGACAATAATGTTTTATTAGCACAGAGGTCTGAAATCATATCTATCATATCTCTGCAGTTCAGCACTTAACTGTAATGAGAAAAGTTCCTGTATTAACAAATATTCATACGACTACTAAACTTTCATATACTGTTTAAAAGTGTCACCCATGCATTTTCCTCTACTGCTTGTTCATGACAATACCTTGCTAACAGCAGCACTCCAAAACTCCATGTGAAATCAGGGACCTTCGTACAAGCAAGATATGCATACATAGTCAGGGAGAACTCCTGAAACAAACAGTTGAGCTTATAAAAAGTTAAGAGTTTGGATAATGGGGTAATAGTAGCCCATGTACAATACTAAACTATACTGCAGTCTTGCAGCGAAGAAACCCAATATGTTGCT